CTCGTAAATCTGATCCACAGACTGCACGTGTAAAATGACTGACAGAAGGCTCTGAAGAGTAATAGTTTTACATCTGTGGTACACCGTGCGAATCTGCGGGCCAACATATTGCAGCGGACTGCCAACGCCCTCCTTTCTCTCTCTAAGTCCTCATCATCCAGTAGCGTCTCCGTCAGCATGTGACCCAAATATTTCACCTTGGACACCCTCTCTAGTGCCGACCCTGCGATTTTAATTGGCGGCACATTCGAAGGCGCCTTGTTCCCTGCTTTAAATACCATGAGAACACTTTTGCTGGCATTATATTTGAGTCCATGCGACTGGGCGTATGATTCACATATGTAGAGAAGTTTCCTGAGCGCATTGACTGATGGGGACAGCAGGACCATGTCGTCCGCATAACTGATATTATTTATCATTGTGCCATCGACTGAACACCCGACCTTGGTTCCGCTCAGCCCGCCAATAAGCTGGTTCATAAAAACGTTAAACAAAGTCGGTGAGCTTAACCCCCCTTGCCTCACCCCGCATTTCAGTTTATAGTCCCGACTAAATGCGTCAACCCATCTGACAGCATTCTTCTGATTGCTATACCAATACCTGAGGAGCGATACTACCTCCCTCGGCACAGCAGTCTCCTCCAGTAGTTTATGCCAAAGAATATCGTAAGACACCAGGTCAAATGCCCTCGAGAGATCAAGAAAACACGCATATACTGGTGTTTTTCTGTCGGTATAATACCTTACCGTTTGTTTGAGACACATAACTGCCATGTCCGTTGACAAGTTGGGTCTGAAGCCAAACTGCAAGTCATGTATCTGAACGTGTTCGTTCAGCTGCGCGTTCACGAGACTGTCAAGGACCTTCGCCATGGTTGTGGCCAGTGATATTGGGCGGTAGTTTCGCTTGTCAGATGGATCCCCGGTCTTGTTCTTTATTATCGGAACTACCACTGTTCTCATCATATCATCCGGGATATAAGAATGGCCTATACAAAAATTAAACAACAGACTTAGGACTCTGGGCAAATGTACACCTGCATAACGCAAATGCTCTATACTAATACCATCATGACCTGGGGATTTTCCACTCTTCATATTTTTTATTACATTTCTCACGTCTACTGGTCTAAATCGACGGTACTTCTCACCAGGTCTGACGTCAGGCTTACTTACTCTACTAAACTCACAGGGCATTGGTTCCAACTCAAACAGATCTTTAAAACTATCTGCAATATTCCGATTCCCTACGACATTGTCGACGCTCACAGGCAAGCTCGGCTTAGAATTCATGTGCCCTGTATTTTTCCAAAAACTGCTAAAGTCTTTAGCTTTATGTTTTGCTGCCAGTATGTCCATTTTTATTTGCTCAGAATTATCCTGACACCATTTCAATTTTTTTTTAAACTGTCTTCGCGTTTCACACATATTTAAATAGTGTGGCCCGTCGCGCGGCTTCCCCTGCAGAACCCAGTTACAGAAACCAAGCCGAGCCCTCCTATGAGATTCACCGACATGCTTGTTCCACCCTACAATACACATCTTCTTTTTTCTCTTACTGTCCGTTCTAGTCCTTTCCGAGGCATCACTCAAGATAGACTTAATACTATCATACATTACATTGATTATGTGTCTATGTTCTACTTTGTCACATATATGATCACAGCAATCCCGTAATTCCACTGGAAAGTCTATATTTCGCAATGCCCCGTTACATAATTCCCTATATTTACAGATTTGTTCATCGTTCCGTAACCCCCATAGTATTTTATTATCTACCCCTCTATTTACAGTACTTTTTCTTGGTAAACTGTTAAAATTACATGTAATTTCAATTGGAAAATGGTCCGACCATGACACCTCATACAATACCTTAATGCTATCAATTGTTTGAAATGCCATTGCTGTAACCAGTATGTGATCCAACCATCTTACAGTTCCGTGAGCCTCACTTAAGTATGTATAGGTATTCTGACAACCTGGTAACAAATCTACATCAGCGCATGTCCAACTTTGTTCCTCACAGAAATTTAACATTTCATTAAAAAACAATTCCCCTGGATGTGCGTTGAAGTCCCCCATAATAAAAACTAAATCTACATTATAATCGTCAATTACCGCATTCATTTCTGATAGACATGCAGTAAATTCACACAAATTGTCCTGACCGTCTGTTGGCATATATATTGAGAACACTAGCATAGACCGACACTGACCCACACATTTGATCGCCGAAATACGCACACTGTTACATTTAATAATCTCAACGGCACTAAACGCACTCTTTCTCCATAGAAGGGCCACTCCACCATAGGGTCTCCCCCGCAGTACTCCTTCCGCAGTGTCTACCGCTGAGACACCCGTCGCCGCAAAATCACAATGGATGTCGTTAAGATAGAACAAATCGTGAGGCAGCAGCCACGTCTCCTGCAGTGCAACTATATCCGCTGTGTCACACAATTTTTTTACACAGTCTACTGATCTCTTTATCGATCTACAATTAAAACTTAATAGTTTAACTGGTCTATTTTGCACAACCATCTTGACGTTTTCCTACCTCCTTTCCAGTGACTAAATACTCTTGTCGAGCCTTAAATATTATGTATCTCCTGAAAAATATTCCATCTGGCCAGAAATCGTCTTTTTCAAATAAGTCTAGGCTGCTTCTAGGAATATAGATCTTGTAGGAATTATATTCCTTCGAGTATTTCATGTTTACTCTTTCAGGTGCTACTACAATGTTAGTTTTCTCCATGATATATTCTTCAATGTCCTTTTCCGTAGTGTACTTTGAAACATTATATAAAAACAAGGGAATCTTTACTTCCGCGGCTCTAAATTTCGACGACGAATTTACTGGAGCACGTCCTTGTTTCCCCTTAAATCTCCTCGAACGTCGCTTTTTCACCTCAGTCCATTCCCCTTCATTACCTTCCTTTGCCATTCTTTGCGCGTCTATTCTTATTTCCTTTATAATACGATCCTGCACACCCACATCGAGCGCGGCGCTACCTGTAGAATGCTGCTTGTACCCCTGCACGCGCGCCTGCCGCTTAAACATCGACGGCGCGGGGCGCGCGGGCGCCTCACCGGACGGCGACACAGCTGATTCCGCATTGTTCGAAACCGCAGTTGTTACGCCGGTGGCCTCAACTCGCATAGCCAGTGAGTCCGACAACGCACGTCGCCGCGAAGTAGATGCACATCTCGCTCTGCTCGCATACGATGGGGACAGCACAGCCGACGACTCTCTGGACAAATCATTTACCTGTGACTGAGCTATTGGTGATTCAACCTCATTCACTGACCTCTGAGTGCAATGCATAAAACCCATCGGTCCACTGTTGCAAGTAAAACTATCTTGCAGACAATAACCACCCCTCCGCGTATTGATATTAGGTTCAATATTGTTCGTCTTTTTATTTTCCGACTTCATATTCTCGATTTCAAGCTTGAGTAGTTTTAATTCATCTACCGTCGCATATTGAACATTATTAAAACACTTCTCCTGTACATCGCGCAGTTCTTTCTGGATAATAACAATGTCCTTTAGTAGTCTCGTCACATCAATGTGGTCGAAAGTCACTGGCGGTAATTTCTGAAGATCTCGGGCCACAAAGACAGGTATTTTCTCCGGATCGGTTTCCTTCAAAAGGGTTATAATATCATATAAGTTCTTGTTTGTTTTGCGCTCACCCTTTCTCTGCACACCACGCTGCGCAACCGATTCAAAAAGCAGTGTTTTTGCTTCTTTACTATCTTCTTCCGAAAAAGCAGATGCACACACAGACACTAGACTTTCTTCGTCCATTACATCAATTTTATTTTGAATGAATGAAAGCACTTCATTGACAACTATGTTACAGTAATTGCATTTTAACACTTTAGAGGTCATTTTCAATATAGGTCAATGCCCTCCACGCGCACGAATACACACCCGTTCGCAACCGCGATCAGCTGACGAGTGAGTGTTTATGACTGCATTTCGTGACATAGGAACTAACAAATGTATTTTGATGAAAAGACGTAGTCCTTTTTTTACCAATAAGATATGGATATTTTTGAAATAATATGTTAAGTATGGATATGGACTTTGTATTGATAAGTATTTCTTATATATACTGTTTAAAACTCATAGCAGTAAATTTTTTTTAAATTGTTGGAGCTTAGCTCTCGTCTACAAAAGAGGAGTTTCTATGATCTCCACGTTTGGCAGTCGGCTTGGAGATCGAAGTTAAATTTGAAATGTAAAATTGATCGCAGATCTCTTTGATAAGCATGAATCTTTTAAATCTTAGTTCTCTGCTCTGGGTGCCCAACCTAATCTCTGTCCTGAGAGTACGACTCGTCGCGTTCCGCGCACGCCTCAATGGGCCACTAGACCACCATCCAGTAGGGCTAATGCCAATACGGAGCCGCGAAGGACTTAACAGGTTATTATTAATGGGACAAGCCCGCCACAACCTCCCAAAACCGCTGCAACTCCTGTAAGACAGGATCTACAGTAGATACAACCATGAAAACACCGGAACATTGAAGTCGGGCGCGTCCCAGGGACATGAGTCTTGGTTCCCGCAACGAAGTGAAGATATTATAAGAGGAGAAGAAGAAAAAACTATAGTTTTCACTTCCCTCGGTGAATTACTGCAGGAGACAGAATGGATTAAGCATAAAGGCACAAAGAAGAGACTGTACAACTGGGTGAAGCGGTTAACAGGTTGCGGGGGTTCCGGATCGAAGTGCAAAAGTAGGACCGGGGTGGTTTTTAATCAGTAAAAGTCTGACACTCCCTCTGTCTCTCCCTCATCCAAAGCGGGAGAAATCATTGGATGATTTTTTTCTCTCAAAAAAATTGGGTTCTTTTGTTCTCTATCATTAAAGTCGAATGCTACGTACGCTTCCCACGGGAAAAATAGGGGTACAAAATGTAGTCAATACATGGCTAGATTAAATATGACTATTATAATTATGTACCTTAAGCTTCATTTTCCTTTGTTCCAGGCGCGGTTAGATTGGTCAAAACCTCTTTTATGTCAGTTGGATGCCATCGCCCCTCACTACGACACGTGGGTGAACTCAGCAGTGTATAGGAAGTGCAGGCTCTTCGCCAGTCCTGTCCTGGAGAGCCTCACGTACACACCTTGGTACTTGGTGCCTATGTTCTGGGTACCTATCATATTGTACCTTGGGGTCACACAGTATATGGAGCTGGTTGCCTGTGGAGGTACTGTATAATTAATTTGTACTTTATAACACTATCGTGAGTTGCATTTCGTTAATTATATTAGGTACACAGCTTAAACTTTGACTGCACGGTTGGTGCGCTGGCTGGGCAACCGGCTACCGTGCAACGTGTCGCGAGTTCGATACCCGCACGGGACAACACTTTGTGTGATCCATTAATTGTTGTTTCGGGTCTGGGTGTCATTGTGTATGTGAACTTGTATGTTTGTAAACGTACCCACGACACAGGAGGAAATCTTAATGGGACAATATTTAAAAAAAACTTTGACTGAATTATGGGCCCCTAACATCGCTTGAAACTTGTCGAATGAAGTAAATGTTCATACTTTATATTTACGGTTATAAATATCCTATGAGTCAAATCTTTGTTTTGAAATTTGGGCGAGGTCTGTATCTATGTCCACCACCCACTATGTCCAGTCTGATTGCTGGCCTCGAAAGACTGAGTTAATTAATTGGACTATATGATACGAACCACTGATTGTAAATCTCGTTGCTTACAATTTTGATTTGACTTCATGTTATTTAATAAAAACTTCATGGTCATCTATTAATTTTATCGCTTTAATGTGTAAGGATTTAAATTAAAGACTTAGACCACCCATAAAATAAAAAAAATAAATTGAACTATTAATACTATTAATGAATATTTTTATAATAAATATAATACTTATCGTGAGACATACTAAATTAACTAAAGTCGCGGGTTACTCACGTGAATATACTGAGAAAAGCTCTACTAGTTTCGAACCACACAGGGGTTCTTCCTCATGAGCAACGTGCACTGACCGCTGACCGACTGCGATAATAATGAATATATGTATATTCAAATAATAAATCTAATTTAAATAAATAGATCATAAAATTATTTATCTTCTAAAAGACCTGCACCTGCATATTACCTATGACTATATGCAGTGAGAATTCAGTAAATTGGACAAGGCTCTATAGAATATTAAATATCTGATTCCTCTTTTATTCGCAAACACTTTGTTACTTACGCCAAAAAATTTACAGAATGGCAAAGGGAAGTATTTCATTTTTAAGATTTCTTGACCTTACCCCTGTAATACACGCATATATAATAATATTATAGAGTAACTTAAAAGTTTAAAGCCGTATCGTACCATATAGTATTTTTTTTAACCTTTTGAACGCCAGAGCAAAAACGCATGAACTTGCCCTCAACGCCAGGCCACAAATTCACCGCAAATACCTACGAAAAAATAGGGATTCCAAAACTTCATCGATAATCAATTTTATTTTCATTTTCGTCTTTAATTTCGAAATATAATGTCCTTATAACATTGAAATTTAATTCAACATTACATTTCTTCCTATTAAAGTAATAGTTATACACTATTTACAGACTTGTATAATACCTTAATAACAGATGAGACTACAATATATTTAAATATAATAACTGTAGGTACAACACTATTCTTGATCTGCTGTTTCATATTGTGACCATGGCGTGGACGGCCCGCCATTTTAATAACTACTTCGCTTCCGAAATAAGGATGTGGCAACGTAATATCTCGTTTATCGATGTTCTAGTACAATTATTTTATAATAAATGAAACACGTTTTTTAAATCAGATTTATAATTCCGAATGTAACAGGTACTTAAAATATATGATTGAAATAGGTTAAGAAGGTAAATAAAAACTATGAAAAAATAGAAAATTTTAATAAAATGTTAGGTCTATAAACCTGGCATAAAAAGTAACAAATTAAAACAATTAACGATTATATATAATTATCACAATTACCAATCAGTCTTATACTAATAAATCTTTTGAATAATAGAACAAAATTATACAAAATCTACAATGCAACCTGCATTCTGATCATCTAATTCGCTGGGTGCAAAGTGGGTGGTGGGGACAGTGAAATCGATCTCAGCGCGCACCGTGGCTAAAAAAGGAACTTTTGGCAGACTTTATTCCACGAAGTTATAGGTAAATATGGAGCCCACACGTAGAATAAAAGTTTCGAGTCAAATACTCTCGCTCCTATTCTCTGAGGCAAACTGAGGTTTGATCTCTTTTTCTAGTGTACTACAGAAATTGAAAATTCTTCGTTATCTGAGACTCCTTCTAATATGCGAAGAAGTTCTTCCGTAGTCATTAAATTCCCACTCATTATAATAGTCACTTAATATAAATCTTGAACTCGATATCACAAGTAAATTAATCATAAATATTATTCATTCACTTCACTAATTTCTGGTCGCCGCGCTTGTGACGTCACGATATTGTCGTCTAGTCGTGACCATGGCGTACAGGGTACTGATAATTCGGGTTGCGTTAGGGATGCGCTTGAGTTGGGATTAGTGAATATCGAAATTCGACCCAACCAAATTTTATTTTTGACTATGTAGCTTATTGAATGATTTTTAAGACTGGTTTTATAAAATTAATGCTGCTTTATCCTAGTACCAAATTATACCTAAAATAATATATTCCAGAGGAAAGTTTCGAATCGATCTTTGATTTGAAATAATGATATTATCCAACATGCGCTACATCACTAGCGGTCACGCAGTTATGACTCTGGCGTGTGAGGACATTCTTTTTTCAGAGTTTATTTCTTTCTTTTTAACGTAAAATTTCTCAATATTTATAATGCAATTTAATTAGTTTTATGGAAGTAAATAAATTTTGGACCTTCTATTTTACAGGTATATAAATAAATAGGCATTAAAGTAATGTTTAAATAGTTTATTTCGTGTTTTAATGTACCGCTGTTTTTGTCACATATTTGTGTCGTTGGCGCTCAGGGACAGTTTTCGCTTGTCACGTATTTGTGACCCTGGCGCTCAAAAGGTTAAGGGGGGAAAATCAGCGAATGACTGCTCCCGCCTAGGTGGGGCGGGAGGGAGTGTCAGACTCTTACTGACTAAAAACCACCCCGTTTCCTTTCCTGCGCGTCGAGCCGGAGCCCCGGTTACCCGTTAGGTTCTCCGCGACTAAAAGAAGCATAATATATGTCCGATAAATAGTTCTATTCAAAAACAACACACGTCAGTGTATAACAATGTTATTTTTTCAGATTCCTGCCAGCAGACGTCGCTGACAACCATTCAGTATATCTATCACATAGTATTAGGGATATTATTATGGTCTATCCTGGAGTACAGTCTACACAGATGGGTGTTCCATCTCAATCCAGGATCTTCAGTCACGATGATTAAGCTACACTTTCTCATACATGGAATGCATCATAAGGTGAGTTGTTTAATGATGATGACTAGACCATATTACATAGAGAATTTATTAGTAGATTTTAATAAACATTATTGTCAGCTAGCTGGAGCAACTTTCGTACGAAACACTTTTTCTTTCTCCTGAATATTTACTAAATTCAGCTGGAAATCAGCATAAATTGCCTGACTCCATCTCTCGCTCCTGTACCTACTCTACTTTAGATCTGCTCGGCTACGCTATACTGTAAGATGTCCTTTCGAACTCTCGAAGTGAGCTCGATAGCATGTTATATTGACATACATTACCATAGCACAAACACCATACCTCACATTATCTCAGTCAGAACTAGATACCATTACAGTACCTCCGTGAAGAACCAGATTACCGTAACCATACCTCCGTGAAGAACAAATCAATACCTTTGTTTTAGACTTGACCATTGGAGGGCGGAGGTATGGTAAAGGTATCTGGTTCCGACTGAGGTAATGTGTGGTATGGTGTTTGTGCTGTGGTAATGTATTTCGCTATAATGTCTTCCAGAATAGCCTAGCTATTATCAGATTTTTTAGCTTCGAGTCTTGATGACGACCGACAGATGAATTACTTAATAAGTATAGAATACGAAAATACCATAATTTTGGTAATTTTCGGATAAGGTGCATGGTGTCTAATTTTGTTTTGTTGTGTATAATTACTGCTAGTATTACCATTTAATGCTTTGTAACTCTTTAAACCTTTTGTGATTCCGCAGGTTCCATTCGACGGGCTCCGTCAGGTGTTCCCGCCAATACCTGCGTTCCTGCTGTCAGTCGTGATATATTCAATATTGCAGTTTTTCCTCGACTACTCATACATTAAACTCACTGGAGGACTCATTGGTAAGTAACTTTTATAACTTCATTTTTGGGAGTTTGTTGAATGTCAGTATTTTACGTAGAGCAACCGCCTACACTACTTTGAATTAAAATAAAAAACTGCGTTTAAAAAAAACCGACTTCAAAAACTACAAAGTAACGAAAAGTAAAAACTAAAAAGCAAAAAATAACTGTTATTGGAAATACGTACTTATAGCTTACACACCCACTGATAGGTGTCCAGATGTCTTCGAGTAATCGAGTATCTAACAAACATAAAAAAATACAGTTAAATTGAGAACCTCCTCCTTTTTTTTGAAGTCGGTTGATGAATGACACTTACCTCCTAGGCATAGTACTTAGGTAAGGGCCATGGCACATAGTAACGGCTCGGCTATGGCACGACGTTTTTTGCTATGAAATCATTACAAAAATGCCAGCGCGCGGTGCCGTTACTGTATGCCATTATCATAAGTTTGAATAAACGGTTTTGGGCCTTCGTCTTCGTCTGGGGGCCAGGAATCGCCTTCTCTCGTTAACTTTCTTTACTGTAGCCGTTCAAAATAGGTATTATAATACCATTTATTGGAAGAATTTGTATAGACAGACATGTGGCACATTGGCAAGGTACACACGTAACATAGGGTAGACCCATCAGATTGTAATTAGATATTGTTTCTTATTATATATTTCGATAAACCGTTCTCAAAACTGCGGTTATAGGAATGTCAATAATTACATACGAGTACATAACCCTGTATACACTATAGGATTAGGTTTAATACTTACATAGTTCCATATAGGTATGTACCTACCTAGATAGTTAAATACATGTCTAAAGTGTATGTATTATGTACTAGCTTTTTACTCGTGTGTACTTTCTACTTTATACCTATGAAAATTGCCGCGGAGAACCTAACGGGTTACCGGGGCTCCGGCCTGAAGTGCAGGAGTAGGAACGGGGTGACTTTTAGTCAGTAAGAGTCTGACACTCCCTCCTGCCTCACCCAGGTGGGAGAAGTAATTAAATGATTTTCCCCGCTTTAAAAAATACCTATGTAAATAAAGAACATTTTTCTCGTATATGTCCCGCCTATCAAGCTTTCTAATGATGAAATATTTTTTTAAATTGGTTGAGTACTTTTGATGGTTATCCAGTGCAAACAAACGGATTTCTTTAATGTTCTTTCCTCTTTTATATTGGTAACTAACTATAGACAGTACCGTCTTTACCATAAGGGCTCTCAGGGCCAGTGCCCAGAGACCCCATGCTCAGGAGGCCCCGAAGGTGGATTTGTATGTTTGTAAATGGGTACACAAATTATGTTAGTCACATTGTCATATTTATTTATTTTTATAGTTATAATTATTTATTACTTTCATTATTAATGTAACGTAGGATATCTCACAAACTCACCCTCGAGAACCCTTGTTGTTGCGTCAGTGCTGGTGAAGTGTCCACCTGCTCGCTGTAACCTCTCGCAATGAGTGTCGGGCTGCGCGATAGCTTCACGACCGCAACCTACCCACACTATTTTAATTGTCGTGATATATGTGGTTTATAATTTTTTTATTTTTCTTTTCTTCGGTGACGGTACACGTAGCGCTAGTTTATGTATGTATATTTATTTTTTATTTATTTATTTATTTATCGCACAATGTGCGCACAGAGGTCTGTGTTTAACTCGTCGAGTACCGGTTTTATAGACACAATTAAAGAACAATAGGTCGCGGTCACCGGTGACCGCTTGGTGTTTGACAGTTTAAATATCTTCCTTTTCTTTTATTGTTTTAACATGTGTCTTTTGTATTCCTATTATTTTCCTTTAAATAACCGTCCGTGCGTCACTGCAGGGGTGCCAACTGAAAATCAGTGTTGGGTACTTACTGTGCCCAGCTTATACTGAGTTGGCGAGCCCTTTCGTCGTGGACATGCTGCCACCCTGTCTCTTTTATTTTGCTTTTTTTTATAGTGTTTTTTTGGCTTTATTGCTATTTTTTTTGTTATTTTATGTTTTTTATATTGTTTTCTTTTTATTTTTGTTTTTCAATGTTTATGTTGTGTGTTAATTTTCGGTGGTCCATGTCTGGTGGCGAATAAATTATTTTTCTTTCTTTCTTTCAAATGCACCCATGATACAGGAGAAAACTACTACTAGTGTGGGGCAACGTTAAAACATCCAAAAAGGGCCCCGAATTCTTGTGTGCCAGATGGCACCACCGTAGTCCAACACGGCCCTGACTATAGATTATCACTATGACTGTGTAATTCTGAATTTTAAGATCATTTTGTACCTAAGTTAATATAATGACTAAGATTTTATGACGAATTTGAATTAGCTAATAAAACTATATCATTATTATCCGCTTAAATACTTAGGTATTACTATTTAGCATTGTAATCTCCTGGCTTAAGTTTACGATAGATGCATCAAATAGTACCTATATTAAACAGGTGTGTACCAAACAATAATAAATAGGTAGTAGGTACCTATAAACGTGTTTATGAAATAACTAGTGCGTTCGTGTATTATTAGACTTCTAATCGAACAGGAATGATGAATGGTGATGAGCAGGCCGGCGGGATGTCTGCGTCAGTCTTTATGGCCGAGCGTCACAATACATTTCTCATCCTCAACCAATTTAGGGTTATGTGAGACATAATTATTTGTATTAAGTATTTAGGGAAATATGGGCGCGGTATGGCTTATTTTGGTAGTTCAAAAAGTACGACTGAAACGGGTTATAAAATTTTTAGAACATTTTAGGCGCAGTTTTTGGATGGATTGTCAAATTGCCATTGCCAGTTGTAGGTCACCTATAACGCGATATTCGGTTGTTGCCACCTATAACGCGATATTCATCATATTGTATATCTGATGACTTTCCAATCTTTCGGCACTACTGCAATCAACGCATGTTGCAAATCTTGATCACGGATGAGCTAAAGTTACTTTACTACGCTCAAAAGTTTTGATTCAGTCCAATTTCTACATAGGCTGTTATTATGACAAGGAATCGTGGATTAATAATGATTTAAGCGCGAATATTTATGGACAACCCTGTGTTTGGCAGACGTCAGTACGAGTACGCCTCGTACGTACGTAATAGAAGCGACGTTTATTAAATGTATGTAAATAGAGGCATCTTGTGTGGATCAGGTGCATATGTCATTTGAATGATTACCTAGTATTTTGTTTTTAAAAAGAATTATGTTTAGGATGAAGTTTAATATCGAAGAATGAGACCCTCTGTTGACATGTTTACATGACGATTCCGAATCAGTTACTCTTACTGTAGCCCGTCTCACGATGTTCCGCCATCACTTCTGACTAACCGCTATTTTTGTGCAAAAGGTATGCTCAATGTGATTTTCACTTGATTAGCCCATCACATTGGCGATTGTCCGTGCGTTCTTGTGCCCTCTTTTCGCGTCTTGAGACGTGTCCGAATATTTTAAATACATTACCCCAATTAGTATCCTCATAGGAGAAGGAAGAAGGAAAACTTAATGCAAAGAGTTTCTTTAATTTCCTTTCCAAACTCTTGATTAGTTCGTAACTATCTTAAATGCTTGAAGATTGAGAGAGCTGACGTTTGTCAGAAAGTAACTCAATCCTTTTCCCTGTAATTATTACAAGTAACAGGCTCTTGTATGACTCATATCTATCTTTGGCTTACTCAGGAAGGATGTACAATTCCAACAAATAGAAGATTATGGTAATATTCCGATATTACGAGTATAATATCTCTCTCATCTGTCATTTTTATTTATTTATCGTATCATCTTAATCATTGTTATGTAACTACATATCTTCTGTGATAACCAAAATAGAATTATGTTAAACAACACTTTGATAAACGTCAGATCTCCTAAATGCTTCTAAGATTACAAGCAGACCGCCTTCCGGTTTCGCTTTGCATGCATTTCTAGGAGCTGAGAACATTCCTGGTGAATTAATGATCGTTCCTAAAGTTTTTGACAATAATATTATATTATACTATTAGTATCTACTTTCGTGCAATTTCACCCATTGTGCTCGACGCCTATTTATCGTAGCGTGATGCTTTATAGCCTTCTAATGGACTATTCAACGCTAAAATTATTTTTGAAATCGATATTTGGGATATAAAGCTGACGAGTTGTAGGTTTGAACGCGCTAATCTTAGGAACTACTGGTCCGATTTGAAAAATACTCACAGCACAGTATAAATAGTATAAAATGTGATTTAAGTTTAATAATTCCCACTCTAGAGGTATATAGTAAGTTGCTATGTTAAATAGTTTTTGTCGAAGTGATACATCATTTCTATTTAAACCGCCTATCAAAGAAGAAGGTACATCTAGTTTAAACCAGATACTTATATTTCCTGGTGTCTTATCACTGTTATCTCTGCAGGGTACCTGACGTACGACATGATTCATTACTACGTGCACCATGGCTCGCCCCGTGACGGCACCTACCTCTACGCCATGAAGAGGTACCACTCTAACCATCACTTCATCAACCATGACAAAGGTTAGTATATTGGTACTTTTTTGAGGGGGTAGAATCATCCAATGTCCTCTCCCGCCTTGGGTTAGGCGAGAAGGAATGTCAGACTCTTACGGACTAATAATCACATCCTTCTTCCTCCTGCTTCGAGACAGGGCCCCGGCAAACCATTAGGCCGTTTGCAGCTCCGATAAGTATAGTACTCTGTGTAGTTAAATTTTTTGGCGCCCCAGTTTTTATAGAGAAAACTAGCTAGTGTGGGATTTATACCTCACTAAAACTAACAATACAATAGATACACAGAATAAAAATGCCTATTATAAGAATATTTGGCTCTCTGAAAAGCTCTTTCTAGTAAATTTTATAAGAGACACAAATTCTATAAGGCCCGTCCTAGCTAATGCTAGACAAGGACTGGGCATGTTCAACTGTACCGTCCTTACAACCTGAATATAGTGGCTGTTTGCGCCTCTTTTTATTGGGTCTGCCGATCTTGAGTATATGCGTTAACGATGGTTAATATGTAGGACCTTTTCGTAGCTATCCAAGTTTGCAAATATAAAATATTTGATATGTAGGTTACACCTTTGCCTAACATTCTTTAAAAAAGATAGCAAGTTAAATGTTTAACTACAAGTCCAATTTGATGGGTATATTTTGGTGTGACACTTAATTTATCTGTGACGTCACATCTGATTATAGTTTTATCAATGTGTTTTTGATCTTAGTGTGTGCAAACGTTACATACATAGATAAATAAATATAAATATTTTTTTTTTTTTTTTAAAGTTACTGTTTAGATATACGTTACTTTCATTGCGTTACGTCTGATATTCAATTAATAACTTAAATGGTTTTTCTATCGCTTCGTAACAACTATCAGGCTTCGATAAAATTAAACATAAAATACATAAATAATGATTCGATTAGTTTCGGGTCCCCTTCTGGTTCGAAATTAATCGGACATTCCCGATTAATTTCGGTAGGAATTTTAATTATGTCTCACAACAAATACATTTAATTTTGTTTTGTATTTTTTTTGTTTCAGCCTTCGGAATCAGCAGTAAGCTGTGGGACATTGTCTTCAGAACATTTGTCCACGTAAAAAAGTTAGGTTTTAGCTTACATTGGTAGGATAAGCTAATAGCATATTTAGCATAGCTAGGTACTGAGTTAAAATTGTTGATATTCTGCCAAAGTTTATTTAAAGTATGAAGTCAGCACTGTTGTGAACCTCCGCCGGAGGGCTTTAAAGATTTTTAATCTGTGTAATATATGAGAGCGATTAAAGTGTTAATAATTTTTATTTTATTTTAAAGTTATTTTTTATTTAAGATTACCTGTTGCCCGCGACTTCGTCCTTGTAGAATATGACTTTTTTGTTTCAATTTTCAAAAATAAAAGTAACCTATGTTACTCCTTGATACATTAGCTACCTACAAAGCTTTGCAAAATCCGTCCAGTCATTCCAGAGATTAGCCAGTACAAACAGGCCGTCAAAAATTGTTAAAAATGTCATTTTGGTATGTGTATATTTATGTACATTCCATATGCACCTAGTAAAAGGCGGTTATTTTAACATTACAAGCAGAAACTCTAATTTTATCTATCTGTATAGATTTTTAAACTGTCAAACACCAAGCGGTCACCGGTGACCGCAACCTATTGTTCTTTAATTGTGTCTATAAATACGGTACTCGACGAGTTAAATGGTGGAACACATAGAGTGTGTCCTTTTGGTACATATTTGTGTACTCCCAAAGGATAAGCAGAGTGCTTATCCTTTGGGAGTATACCTTAGTTTTGAATTTCTTTACACAGCAATCGAACTATAGATCTTATTGTCTACATATTATATTTAGATCGCAATGTTAAATACATACATAGTATATTGTTATTTAATTTGTTTATGCGTAGTGACAGTATAAGTAATAGCATTGGACTCTCCTAACTATGTCAGATCTCAAGGTTCGAAGTAAAAGTAATACAATACTAGATATCAAGCTTATTATTCTGCGATAGGTTAGGCAGAGTTATCCTGGTACTGGTGACGGCTGACAGACGTTATTTGATTGCCGATTATAATTATAAACGGCAAGTTTCAATGAACTGTAGGTATCTGTAGATTTCAATGACATATCAGTCCAAAATCCAGTACCTTTAGCCAAAAGCCACTTTAGGGCTTGTCTAAATGTAGAATAGAAAAGCAAATTATATGGATTTGACGTAATATGTCATCCCCATACATTTTGATTTCTACTCTCTCTATATACAATCGCTAAAGTGGCGTTTGGCTAAAGGTATACTGGATTGAGACCGATTTTTGACATTCGTTTCTGTCAAAAATCTAATCAAATTGGCCGTAAGTTATTAAATAAAGTAGATAGTTCTTAAAAAATCTTTTTGATATGATTCAGTATATATCATAACATCACGCCTTTTATCCCCGAAGGGGCAAGCAGAGGTGCACATTACGGTAGTTAATACCACTATACTATATTATGTAGATAACACCCACTTTTCACTATTCATGTTATGAGTCTCTTGTGATAGGGGGTGAGCCTATTGTCTTATTGACTCCATGCTACTACTGAGAATTTGATATGTTTCATACAAAATATATAGTTAAACACAGAACATAAATTTAGGTTGAGACTGGCTGAGTTTTTTTTTATACCTCTATTTGACAAGTAATTGTACAGATTTTTTTTGTGAAAATAGTTTAATGTGTTTCTATGGTTTCTAGACTAGTTCTGTTTTAAAAAAAGTCTCGCAGTAATATTTTATAAGTTAATAATAATTAATAAGCAATGGAGCTAAACATTGCAAGCATTGACAAATATTTTGTTGTCTTCCTGACGAAATTTTGGCTATTCCCATTTTCAGAGATGCGACTAAATAAAAAATGTAAATAAATAGTAGATACCTAGGTTATCTACCTATCGATCATTTTGGGAAACCCTTTAAAGCATTGTTTTCAAATACCAAATTCATGATTTTTATGTAAGAGAAATGATTGTGTGCCATGTTATAGATTTTAATTTTTATTATTATTTTGTTATAAAATCGAAAATCATGAAAATTTACGAGTTTTTCATTGAGACATAAACGGTAAAGGTGTACCTAACACGATTTTGTTTCTATGTACATAATATGTATAGCAAGGATATTACGTATTTAATAGAACTTTGGTTTAATGGTGATTATATTATTTACTTACCTATAGTTATTTTCTGTGCTCTAAATATTAACTTTCCTTTTAACATACCGATGTATGTATTATAACAAGATGGAAGAAGTCCACAGAACACCTTCCAGCCGGGTTATTAGGACGTCCTAAAGTCAGAATAGTTCCATTGAGGGAAAGAAACAGAGCTATACAAGTCGTCTAGCGAGATCTCGTTCTCTCAGCTAAACCACTCTTGCTTTAAGATGTCGTAATACTGGTGTACTGGCCACCAGCACTTCTTTTTTTAATGGCATAAGCCGATTTCAAGCAGACGGATCATCTAATGGTAAGCAATCGGTGTCGCTTAGACACCTGGAACAGAGGCGTTACAAGTTCGTTACCGGCCTTATGGGGACTCTTCTCATTACTCTTTCTCATCTCTTCTGATGAAACCTATCTTCAAATCTGTGATCATAGACAATTTTCGTAAAAGTAAGTAGACCCTTAAATAGAATGGAGACAACGGAAGTTCTACTCGATGAGCTTGTCCCTGACGATGTATTCGAGACAGACAATGATTACCATCAACAGATTAGGTCGTGGGCAGCTATACCGCCTGAATCGCCAGTGTCTGATCTACCGTCCATTAACGAGCTCGTAACTATTGTTAAAACTTTGCCTTTAAATAAATCATCTGGTGAAGACAAAGTCTCAAATAAAATGATAATAGAAGCATGTAAATCCGCGGCTGATGCGATCCTAACTGTATACAACCGTTGTATCGCGGAAGGTGTCTTTCCTCGCGTATGGCGACGTGGATTCATTCGCATAATCCCCAAAAATGGAAATAAACCCCCCGATGACCCTAAGTCATACTGGCCTATCACGCTTTTGCCATCTTTAGGGAAACTACTTGAGCGACTTATCGTTCCTCGTTTACTGCCAGGTGGACCAAAATTCCACAACAATCAATTTGGTTTCACTGTAGGAAAGTCTACTGTCGACGCGGCTCTTTCTGTCCGATCCATGGTAAATTCGTCTGAGCACAGGTATATAGTAGGCATTTTTCTGGACATTTCCGGTGCCTTTGATAACGCATGGTGGCCAATGTTACTCTTAAAACTGAAAGGTCGAGGCTGTTTTAGTAACATATATAAATTAATATACACGTATTTCCTTCACGGTTCCGTTAAACTGAAGCTTGGTCATTGTTCTCGGTCGAAGTCTTTATCAATGGGATGTCCTCAGGGCTCGGTTATTGGCCCGTATTTATGGAATTTAGGATTTGATGATTTGCTCGCGATTCCCCTTCCTTGTAGCTGTACTTTGACTGGATATGCGGATGATGGCCTTTTGCTAGTACAGTCAAATACCCGCGCCGGACTGGAGAATTTGGCTAAAGACTGTCTCAGTAGGATCTCGCGATGGGGCGAACGAAATCGCTTGACTTTTGCACCCCATAAAACTTACCAGCTATTGCTTAAAGGAAATCTAAAGTCGTGGCCGTCTATTAAATTTAACAACGTTTCCGTAAAACGAAAGGAGTCGGTTTGCTATCTCGGTCTAGTTTTGGAAAAAACTTTTCTTTCATTGAGCACATTAAGGCTATTAGTGAGAAAGCCAAAAATAACTTCTATGCGCTGACGCGAATTTCAAAAGCCACCTGGGGGTCTCTCTTTTCTTACGCTCAGGATCATATACGGAGCAACCTACCTGGGATGCGTGTGCTACGGGGCACCTGTCTGGGCTGATAGGGCCACAATAGGCGCGGTACGGCGAAAACTTCTTCAAGGCCAGCGTCTAGCCTTGATTTTCCTGTGTAAGGCTTATAGGACGGTTAGCACTGAAGCCCTACCTGTGCTCGCGGGCGTACTTCCGGTAGATCTTGAGGTGCAGCGACGTGCTGCTATGTACTACAGTGCGAGACCTAATTTGTCAGCAAGCTTTCTAGCACAACGTGATAGAAATAAAATTGCTAGATTGTTTAAGCCAATAACGGACGTTGGGATGAGCTTATAACTGAATGGCAGGGTAGATGGGCATCTTCTATTAAGGGCCGCCACCTATATCAGTTCTTCCCATCCGTGCATGAGCGGCTGGAGAGGACATGGTTGGAGGTGGATCACTGTGTTGCCCAATTTCTTACTGGCCACGGCAACTTTAAAAGCAAATTGTTCTCATTTAAACTTATTGATTCACCATGGTGCCAATGTTCGACAGTGGATTTGCAATACGAGCAGTCGGCCCATCACATACTCTGGGAGTGTGATCTCTGGCAATATGAACGTAACACTATGTTGAATAATTTAATTGTTTCGTCAGGTGTAGCTTATTATACGGACCTTGTGGAATCTCGAACAAATTTCCGTGCGTTTAGGCGTTTTTGCCATACCTATTATTGGAAGCAAGTATAACAGCTCACACATAGGACCCACTTAGTTTTTTAGTCAAATTTCCGTGGTGCTTGGCGACTGGGCTTCACCCAGTTGTACAGTCTCTTCTTTGTGCCTTTAGGCTTAATTCATTCTGTCTCCTGCAGAAATTCACCGAGGGAAGTGGAAACTATAGTTTTTTTCTTCTCCTTTTATAATATCTTCTGATTCATTTCGTTGCGGCAACCAAGACAGTTACTCATGTCCCTGGGACGCGCCGGACTTCAGTGTTCCGGTGTTTTCATGGTTGTATCTACTGTAGATCCTGGCTTACAGGAGTTGCAGCGGTTTTGGGAGGTTGTGGCGGGCTTGTCCCATTAAAAAAAAAAAAGACCCTTAAATACCACTAGGTAAGTTACCTTCAGCTTCATAACAGATGTTCTATCATTTTTCCAACTTGCATTAAATATTAATCTAAGTCTAATCGAAGGGAATACTTAGAAATGTAAAAATACTGGTTTAAAATAGGGTTGGTCATATGTTTTTTTTCTATCAATTGCTATTTTACCAATGGTCAAAAATCTATAAAATCTCTTAGATTTGGTTGTCTAGATTTAATGTCCTAAGTAACAATGTGCCTTAGTCTCCTATAACCCAGTTTAAACAATTTCGGTCATTATAGGCTTATAGAACAATAATCTGCGACTATTAAAGATGATTTGGCATAAAAAAAATGATGCAAGAAATAGTCCAAAGTTTAGAAACTCATGTTTACCTACCACTGTGATGTGTCATAAGTACTTATCATGCCTAATTACTTTTTTATTACACACGTTTCTATATATAAGACTTCAATTTTATAACACTTAGGTATTTGATTTGTTGATTAAGTAAATCATAATAGAGCCTACAACATACTATATAACGTTTAAGATCTTTGTTATTACCAACAATAGGTACCTACCTATATAGGTAGACAAAAATTTACTCTGAAATAACTGAACTTAGTTGTTATGATTAATACGATTTTCATAGGTGTTTTCTTTCAAACATTGTTAATGGACTATTTATCGTATCGCAATTTGGTGTACGAGCCCTATGACCTCTATTATTTGTCAAAAGTCAACAAATGTGAAAAAAGTAATCGACGCTTTTTTAAAATTGAATTTTTACGGAATATTCTGGGTAGTCTTGCGCTCTCGAGGAACTTAAAAAATGATAACTTACAGTACGCAAAGCAAAAAACAAATACATCACTTTTTTTCGACATTTCAGAACTGGGTAGGATTAGGTCACCAATCAGCATCGAGTTTTATTTCACTCCTAAACCAAAATTTAGTACGTCTTGAAAGTACCCAAATACAAACTTTTGTACCTACAATACCTACTTACATATTATATTACATACTATATTAAACCTTTCTGTGAATAATATCTATCATTTTACGCTAACGCAAGCGAATTATATAACATCATCATCACGCCTTTTATCCGCGAAGGAGGAGGCAGAGGTGCACATTATGCCACTACAATTTAACACCCACTTTTCACTATTTATGTTATGACTTCAGGGGGTGAGCCTATTGCCATGTATCGGGCATAATTCCAGACTCCGTGCTACTACTGAGAATTAAAAAAAAAACAGTCTTGCCCGATCCGGGAATTAAATCCGAGACCCCTTGCCCGGCAGTCACACTTGCGACAAAAAGGCGGTCAAGCAAGCGTATTACTGATGCAATTTTATTGTTATATGCTCATAGTAATCGTAAAAATGGTTTGACGACCATGATAAGCTGTAGTTTACACATCTTATCGTTTTCCCGTTAAAACAAGGTTAAGTCAATTCTTGGAATCATGGACGGCATTAGGGCGGAATACCCAGTGACGTCATGTGACAGTAATAATTTGAAAAACAAAATGGAAGGTCAGGAACAGATTGAGTTTGTATTTTGTTTTCATTTGTTTCCGCTTTTTTTCTTTGACTTGGAACTGTTTTCATTTTGAAAGGTATCATTTTCTTGCACAGGTTCAGTATTTGCATGGGTTTTAAATACTGTTAAAGGAGAAATTCTGTCTAAGAAGATTTAAAAACTATGATAATTAATGAATTAGATGATCCTTTTTTTTCTTCTTGGGCAACCGTCTCGGAAATGGTGTTGTCGTGACCCTGTTTTCACAGTCACCCTGCACTGCAAGGCTATTCTATAGCTGTCAATTCGACCTTTCGAGGTGAGCTCGATCGCATTCTTGCTCGTCATTGGTCGAGATTATTCTAACAACCAATGACATGGCAGACCGCGATCGAGTTTACTTCGATCTTTCGAATTAAAATTTACAGAATAGCCTACCTAGCTGTTCCTAAGTTCCTAAAAGCCTCCATGACTTTTTTCCTTCAAGCTATAAGCACTTTAAGTCCTTGAATATTGGAATTATTTATCATAGTAATTTCTACTCTATGTCATAACATAAAGTAGAACCTGTGGGAATCTGTGGATTATATTGTATTTAGTATCTCATGCCTTTAATTACATGCAATGAAACCGTGCTATTAACAATAATTAGGTATTATTGTATTGTGAATGTTCGAAATAAAAGTTTATTAAGTTTGTATTTTGTTTTTTTATTTTATTATGTAATGTAATGTCGATCCTGGTTATACCTGAAGAATTAAGAATAGTAATATTGATATAATACGTAAGACAGTTTTATTTAGATTCCTACATAACTCTTTCGCTTCATCAACAGTCATCAATCTTTCATGCGTGCTCGTCAGTTAAGGGTATTATCTTCCTACTTACTAATAAAAATACTTACCTCTAGCTAGCCACATCTATCTATTTTTAAACAATTTCACCTGTACTGTGATTTGTGACTTTTTTATGGGACAAGCCCGCCACAACCTCCCAAAACCGCTGCAATTTCGGTAAGCCAGGATCTACAGTAGATACAAGTATGAAAACAGACATGAAAAACTGTCTTGGTTCCCGCAACGAAGTGAATCAGAAGATATTATAAGAGAAGAAAAAAACGATAGTTTCCACTTCCCTCGGTGAATTACTGCAGGAGACGGAGTGAATTAATGATTAATGATTTGTAACTTTCAAAAAATGCCTGCGAACTACGAGAATGTTTTGCGTTCGACGCTCTTGGTTGGTTTTTTTGGGCCGGCCAATCAGAGCGCCCAATGCGTGCTCGTTTCGATTACTTTTAAACATAAAACAAATTCGTACTAGTTAAGGCAAGGTAAGCAATTCGCGTACTTTCGTACAATCGAGTCATAATCAATTACCTACATTTTAATGTACCCAATATGGGGCGAACCTACATAGTGAAATTGATAAAACACGTCTATAACTTGTTTAATTTAGTAACAATTACAAATTAGATTACTATTTAAAGTATCTAGGTATGGCTGTACTTAGGTAATGAATTAATCATACGAAATAAAGGTTGGTAGGTAATGAATTGATTGTGAAAATGCAAGTAATATTCACATAAACATGCTTTATCCTTCCAAACAGTTAACTAAACAAGATTTGCGTAATATACGTGACATGATAAGACGCTAAATTATTCGAATTGTTCCAACCGAAATTAATAATTTTAATTTCATTTCAAATGCACTTACAACAAAAAGGGACGCCAGTTTTGTTCCTTATTTTTAAATCGTAGAGTTGACTTTGTTCTAATTTCAAATCTAATTTTTTTATTGAAAAATTATATGGCGACGGCACTTCTATGTTCATTACTCTGAGTGCCAACTACAATGACAGTGATTACAATATTTCGTGATTACAGGAGTGTTTTGCGTGTGTCCGTATTTTTGTGTTTGTTACTAAATACTAGTGGATGTTGCCTAACTGACTGGGACTTGGACTTTTTGAGTGATGACCTTTTCCCTGATGTGTCACCTTTACTGGCCAGTACCAAATCTTTCTTAGAAGATTTGCTAAAAATAAATACTTATTCTATGGGTGAGTTGAAGCAATTACTTTTTCGAGTAACCGATGTGTAGAGTAATAGAGTTGTATTTTAGTTAATTTTGTCAAATCAGAATCGGTGTCTTTAATTTTGAGTTTAATAAGCATTTAGCTTGGACCTATCTGTTTCAAGAATGTATACTTAGTTTAAAGTGGCTTTCCCTAACAAGCAGAGACTAAATACTTAATATAAAAAAAATATTCTATGTAGGTATCAGGGGTATAATTTAAAAGCCACATTGTAACCTTTAAACATGCACTACGCATGACAAACTCGTCAAACAGTAAAGTCCTACTATGACAGTAATTATAGTGGTGGATCGTCAGAATTGACTTCATTGTGCTACATTCAAAGAACTTTACAATCGATACTAACAATCGACTTTTCAAGAACTTTTTACTACTTATATCAATTAAGTTCTTAGAAATTCCAGTTGAAATAAAATATTTATAGCTGGCAGTTATAGACAAAAAATAAATAATTGAATTTCGAACACAGATAATGAAGAAGAATCTCCGATCTCCTCCGAACTAGTAGCCGAATGTATTCGAAGAGGTCGCGAACTTTCCCGAGCGGCTACCCGAAGGAACAACGAGTTGGTTGGCAATGGCGTCAGTCTGGAAGACTCCTCGCCTGCAATGCTGCACTTTTTCTCCGCCAAATTGCCTTCAGATGTCAGGAAAGCATCTGATGTTTCTCATGAGATTATTTCTGCTACAAAGCTGCTGCAGATGAAAATGTGTTCTGGGTATATCGTAACTTTCCTATACTTATATTAATTCACTTTAAAAGTGTGATTTAGAAGAAATATAATTTATGAATCTTTGATAGTCTTCACCCCACTGCCCTGTTGCAGTTATAAGTATTGTTTTGAACACTAAACTACTTCTGAAAACCACGTCAACTTGGATCGTCTTTCCTATTATTCAATATCATCATTCTCCAATCAGCAGTGTAACACCAAACACATTTATATCGTTCTTGGAGCACCAGGGAATTCGGATGAAGGACGCTACGTATTGCCATCAAGTGAAGGTATGCTGCAGCAGTAGCAACAAGTACAGGACTATTGACGGTACATGCAATAATAAGGACCATCCTGAATGGGGCAGGAGAGGAGCACCATTCACCAGGATCGCAACACCGCGGTATGCTGATGGTGGGTGTGTAGTTGTAAACTAATTTACTGCAGATCATTTACATTTGGCGCCACAATAGGGTAGTTTCCAGGGTAAGAAAATTAAAAATCTAGTTAGTCCGTCAGTTAGATAATGAAAAAATATTAGACACGTATGTTTTATTTACTCATGTAAAGTTACAATACTTAGATAAAATGAAGTTAAGTTTAGGAGTGGGAGGTAGTTACTTCACAACGTGGTGCATTTTGTAGCACGCTGTGACGTCACACGACATTTCAAATCAATATATCGTCGAAAGCATTTGATTTTGTGAGTAAAGAAAAAATTCGTGTCTAATGTTTTATAATAATCTACTAGACGGACATTAAAATAAAATTTAGGAAACTACCCTATTTAGTATATGAAACAGCCCTAAACCGTTAGTCTTCTTTTCTTCTACGTAATACTTTCCAGGAATATACGCGATGCCAGTGGCAAAGAGTGGCCATCAACTCCCTAATCCTCGCGTCCTTTCCACGAGACTGTTCCAAGACCAGCCCATCGGGAGCCGTGTGCTCAACAATATGAACATGCAATGGGGGCAGTTCGTTACACATGACTTGGTGTTCCAAGTTATGGAAGTCACTGGTAACATGGTCATGATATTTCTCCCCCTTCTACTTATTACAATAGTATCCAGCTTAGTAAGACTGTTGTTAGAAAATGTGACGGCCATGCGCCATACCCAGTCCACCTTTGGTGGAATAAATAAGGTCTTGCTAAATATCTGACTTTGAATCCTTACTTATTTATATTATAAATCAGAAAGTGAGTTTGTTTGTTTGTTCCGCTTTCACGACATAACTACTGAACCGATTGCTTTGAAATTTTGCAGAGGTAAAGTTAGAAGTCTGGATTAAATAATAGGGTGCATTTTAACCCGGAAAAATTTGATATTCCCGAGGGAAAACAAAAGTATTGGTATAGATGGCGCTGTGTGTATACACCATGACATATACCATGTCACATAGGCTAGTTTTTATCCTTTTGTGACGCGAGCGAAGCCGGGGGTAAAAGCTAGTTTGTGATAATTAGAATATCTACAATTTTAGATAGGTACTCTAGAGTCTCACATTAATGTGCTTTCTTCTTGTTAATTTTCCACCATGATAGATTTGCAGCTTGCTTGTCGTAGTTGTTAACAAAATGGCTTCCAGATTCTACCTCAAAGCTTCCATAATTCTTTTCTCTCAGATAAAGGTGGCATCCAATGTTGCTTAGGCGAAGGCAAAGGTATACTTCCTTCCGAATGGCTGAATGATAAATGTATTCCTATATCGGTACCTGATGATGACCAGTTTTATAGATGCCATGGTATTAAATGTTTAAACTTCGTTCGAAGCGTCACCACTCCCAGAGACGACTGTAGTTTGGGACATGCTGAACAGGTAAGTAGAGAGCTTTACTTTTTGAGAAAAATAAAAATATTTCACTAAGCCATTGAGGATTTTAATTGGTATTAGGAAATGTATTTTCCGCTGCTATAATGTCCTTCAATCATTCTACTACCATTTTCATGATGAATGTTCACAATTAGCATTCAATAATAAACTCGTGGTTTCCAATTAGCGGTTCAGTAATTGATTTAATTTAGGTACCGTATTTTATCTAATTTTTTGTACTTGCTCAATAGTAATTGTGTACTTACCAAGTTTTTTTTATTGATAAATCAGTCTGCATCTATTTTTATAGTTAATCAAGACCGCCTGCAATCTGCAAGGCTGCCTTGAAATTTATTCTTAACTCTTTGTATTATTAGATTATTATTAATTAAACTGATTACTTTTAAGATGAACACAGTGACCAGTTATTTAGACGGGTCGCCAATCTACGGTTGCGATAAGAAGCTCGCGTCAAAGCTACGGAGCTGGATAGGTGGACGACTGCGCCAGGAGTCACGGAAGGACTGTCTTCGGGGTTTCCTACCCAGTGTCAGTGACAAGTTCGCAGTATGTGACTTGAGGAACTCATCTGAACCCTGCTATTTGGCTGGTAATAAATATAAATATGAAAACTTCGTAGGTCTATTCAGATGTTCTGTAACTTATTTAAGTACCTTTGGAACTATACTTAAGCAGTAGTAATAAAAGATGATAGATACAGTACTCAAAGAGAGTAGTTACCTCCTAAATCAAGTTTAAGAAGATCACCTTCTATTTTTTGACGATGTTAAAATAACACACCATAAAAAATAAAATAATCACACAGATTAATCTAATAAATTGCGCAACGTCTTCGTCACGTTTTAAAAATACTTAAAACATTATTCTGGTTCATTTTTGTGTCTACCTATAAACCATTTCCAGGTGACACCAGAATTAATCAGACACCGACCTTAGCCATGCTTCACACTTTACTGCTAAGGGAACACAATCGGGTAGCAGATACCCTAAGTGACCTGAACCCTCTATGGAGCGATGAGAAGCTATACCAGGAAGCAAGAAGAATCGTCATAGCTGAGATACAGCATATCACGTACCAGGAGTGGTTGCCTGCTAACTTTGGTGAGAAAAGCATATTGTAATGGTAGAACATGAACAATTTTGGAGGTTTCTCTCTGTATTAACTAACGGTAGAATCTTGGTTAAGGATTATGTCTTAGTCGTCGAATAATGCCTTAGAACAGAACTAGGAACTGATTACTACTAAATTATACTTATTTCCATATATTTATTTTAAATCCTCTATAAAATACATTTTTAAATACTACTTACAAAAACATAAAAATAATATTTAAAAATATAAAAAATAGGAGCCGACCAGTAGTGGGAGCATGGTCCAAGCTACCGGTGGTTAGGGCTCCAGAGACAGAAACCTCCTCACGATACGTGCCGTTTCAAGGAGAACTGCCTTCTGTATCAGGCCCTTGACCCAACTACCTAACGCTAGTACTTATATTATTATAATTATAATTTAGTTTAATGATACTCAACTACCTAATAGTTGAAGTCGATAATAGTTTTCATATAACCAAGAAAACCTAAAACAAATGAAACTATATTTCTAATTTTCTAGGGGAATATTACCTCCGCTACTATGGGATATCGCCATCAACGCTGTATACTCGAGATTACAGTCCCGAAGTGAACCCTGGTATCATCAACAGTTTCGGAGCGGCCGCCTTCAGGTTCCTGCACACCGTCATCAGCGATAACATTATGACGTGTCCTAACGGTTACAATGCTGCTTACTTGTACAAGTAACAACCATTTATTATATCTAAACCAACCACTAAAGAGAGAGGGAAGTCGTCGCCGTACAATGTAACACCTACTTTTCACTATTTATGTTATGAGTCCCATGTAATAGGGGGTAAGCCTATTGACATACACCGGGCACAATTCCAGACTCAGAGCCACTACTGAGATTTTTTTAAGCCCAGTAATACTTTGCCCGACCCGTGAATCGAACCCGAGATCCTTTACCTGGTAGTCGCACTTACGACCACTCGGCCAACGAGGCAGAACAAAATACTGATTTGAAAATATTATAGAAGGTAGCTAACTTCTTTTAGCTGCAGAGATACTACCAAAAAGGTATCGAAACGGGACGGTATTGATTAGTGATTAACCCAGGATTTCAAATAACAAACAATTAATAATAACCAAATATGACTTTCCAGATTAAGCGACCATTACTTCAACCCAAGTCTTCTGGAATCTTCTCCAGATTCATTTGACGATATTGTACGCGGCATCATAGCTCAGAATGCAGGAGAATCAGATCCTTACTGTTCAGGGGAGATCACCAATTTGCTGTTCAAGTCCCATAATAAATGGGGTATGGACCTCATAGCCATGGACATACAACGGGGCAGGGACCATGGGATCGCGTCATACAACGACTTTAGGTAAGATGAGACACTTTTTGGATTAGATGGAAAATGAAGAAGGGTGATCAATGCTTTTATATTTCAGGGAAATTTGCGGATTACCCAGAGCAAGATGCTTCCAAGATTTAGCGAATGAGATGTCACAAGACGTAAGTAAATAAACTTTTTAAATTATTAATTTGTCTTCTGCAAACGCCCTTCAAAAAATCTCTTCTGTTATTTTAGCGTATAAACGCTCTTCAGCATCTATACGAGTGCGTGGACGACATAGATCTGTTCGTGGGTGGTGCTATGGAACAAGACGTGTATGGTTCCATCTTGGGACATACCTTCCAGTGCATAGTGGCTGAACAGTTCTACAGGACTAGAATATCTGACCGGTACTTCTATGATAACGGAGAGATGCCGCATTCTTTTACTAGTGGTAAGCACTAGGTGTTTTAGACTTTAAGAGGAATATGTAAGGTTCAGATTTAATTGATGTTAATGAGGATAATTGTTCTATGTTACATTATATTTGTTTAAATGAGGCAGAGTCGTCTTCGACACGGCAGTCGAAAGCAAGTCATGCTGATCCAAATTTTTATTATCATTCAAAAAGCTAATTTGAAACAAGTAGTACATAATGATGTGTAATATGATATTATTTTTTCTAAAATAGTTTATCCTCACACCTTTGTCTTGGATAAAAAATATTAAATAACTTTTGCACATTTCAGACCAACTAAAAGAACTAAAGAAGGCATCAATGGCTCGTTTAATCTGCGACAATACAGACAGTGTGTACTATGTACAGAAGAAAGCGTTTGAAGTGGAATCTACTTACAATCCCAAGTACAGATGTGATGATTATAATGCGATACCATATGTGGATCTTACTGCTTGGAAACAACCCTCCATCTTTGATTAATTAAATAGATACATGCGCAAAACCTGCGCAAGTTGTTGGAGACATGCGCTACTGGTTTGCGCAGTTGCGCTAATGATTTGCGCAGAGTTGCTTGGAAGGTTTACACAGAGTTGCGTTATCCCTTTGCGCAGACTTGTACTAAAGGTTTGCGCAGACTTGTGCATTGTAATCTCTTTTAACTATTAATATCCACTCTTACAACTATTATATTACATAAATAATTATACATTACTTATCAATAATGAAGTTAAATGCAGCATTGTTATGCATATGTTATAAGTTAGCCAAATAAATATTTTAAAATATATTTTGTGATCAATTAAAAAGACTATAAATATATTTGAAACGTTTAATAAAATAAGAAAACAAGTTATAACGTGTCATGTACATATTATATTATTTTTAAACCTTATACTTATAGTAACAGATAGTAGATTTATTCGATATAGATAAAGTATCACAATTTAATATTTTAGGTACACATTGATAATGGTTATTTACCCGACTGAATTAGAAATGGGTTAAGTGTATACATAATATGTTTTTTTTATGGGATAAGCCGGTTTATCAGCGCCTCCCATGGACATCTGTAACACCAGAGGCGTTACAAATGCGTTACCGGCCTTTTTGGAATTGGTAATTTGAGCATTGTGGAGGATTGGAGGGTATTTGATAATTGGGCCTCCGGCAACCTCACTCACGCGACAAAACACAACGCAAGTGTCGTTTCATGTCGGTTTTCTGTTAACTCCTTTACAGCTTATACATACATAGATTAAATCATATGACGCAGTAAGCAAGGAAGGGAAAAGGATGACAAAAAGATGAAACAATTGTGTAAGACTAATTATGAAGGAGAAATGAGGTTGTGGTAGTTGAGAATGGACAAAGAACACATAATTGTATTTCCATAGCGTTACAAAAACTTGGGATAAGAACCACCTATGGAGTCTCTTACTCGTTCTTTTGCATAAGAATCACACACAATACACTTTGGAACGAGCTTCACTAGAGAACTGGCCGGAAACTGACATTTTTAATATTTGTTTGATGTTCAAAAGTGCCTCTCTGGTCTAATTGAAATAAATGACTTTAAACAGATTAAGGAATATTGGGGTAAAGTGTAGAAAGGAAGGGTGAAGAAGGATTAACTAAACGAGCACGGCTCTTGCACGGCTCAAGTATGGCTCCAGCACGGGGTGTTTTGCCTTGAAAACAATACAAAAAGGTTGCACACCTTTTTATATTAACGTTATAAAATATGTCATTCGACATACGATTTAAAGTACATATTTAAATGACAATGTCATTGCTGGGTTGAAGCCTCGCCAGAGCCGCGCTTTTTAGGTGTGCGATGATCTTCACAAGCTACAGGATGATCGATGTTCAACGTACATGAAGTGTTGATAGATAAATCTTAATAATTAAATAGATATTGTGTCTATTGATACTAAATATGAAAGTCAATGGCAATAACGACCATTTTAAAATACAATTTGTAACACATTAACTAAAATCGCGGGTTACTGACGTGAATATACTGAGAAAAGCCCTACTAGTTTTGAACCACAGAGGGGTTCTTCCTCATAAGCAGCTTGCGCGGTCGCAGCGACATCGCGCAGCTCACTGTAGCTCACTGAAATTAGTAGAGCTTTTCTCAGTTGAGTAACCCACGATTTTAGTTAATTTAGTATGTCTCACGATAGTTATTTTGTAACACATTTTTAAAATTACGATTTAATGTAAAATATTAACATTATTGCACTACAAAGATTTAGATATATTTTGGCAGGATAATTATCAACAACCTTTACTTAAGTCTGATTAGCAGACTTGTTTAGTCTATAAAAATTATAGTATAATTTCACGTAACTCTTTAATTAGTTTTAGTCGAATTTAGTTCTATGTGAAGGACGCATGGGGATGTTACTTCTAATTTGTTGAAATGGTTTCCAAACATACTATTATTTATTTTTATGTTATTCTTTGAGAGAACCTGAAGTGTGTAACTCAGGGCATGGTGCTTTTAGAGTACTATTATTTATAAAGCATCACTATTTGCGGGTTAAGTAACTATGAAGTTCACTTGTCGATTTAGTTCAACTTTTAGGTTTGAGCTCTGTGAACTATTTTACCCAAATGTGGGGAAAAATAGTTTAGCTTAAGCCTCGGCATATGGCCACAAAAATCAGCTTTAATACAAATACTACAGTTAGTCGATTTTGGAATGTTCACTTTGTTGTTTGCTTTTAGAAAACTATGATGACGGCAGAATATCATCCCCGAAGGGGTGCCTACCCTTTGGCTAGAGGTGCAATTACGGCACTTAATGCCACTGTACAACAATTTCACTATTTGTGCTATGAGTCCCATGTAATAGGGGGTGAGCCTATTGCCATATACCGGGCACGATTGCAGACTCAGTGCTACTACTGAGATTTTTTTTAAACCCAGTAATGCTTTTCCCGTCCCTGGAATCGAACTCGGCATTCGCATTGCGAACACTCGGCATATAATTATTTTTATTATTATTTGACATTGATACTTTACAAAGTCAAATCAACAAACCAGAAGTGACATCTACAACACTAATACCTCTACATACAACTAAATTACACTACACTGCACTGCTTCATCAATTCTAAACAATTCCAACTTTAACATTTTCAACTCTATAATCAGCACAAATACAGTCTATTTTACTATATCAACAAATTCCGGTTACCCTGTTTATCCTTACCGAGGAAGTTGTTGATCTTGTTCTGGAAAGTATTCCATGTGACTGAAGTGTTAACAATCTGCGAAAGACCGGCTGGCTTCACCATTCTTTCGAAGAACGGTCTTTTGTAGAGCCTTTGAGCCTCCAGTCTCTGGTCTTCTGTCACTCTACGGTCGTCCAAGTGGTTTAGAGACGGGAATTGTGATATTACAAAGAGCCTGGAATGTGGGACAATGATTTTTGTTTATTAGCTATAGCAATTTTATCTAGAATAGTAAATGAATTTGCAGATTTAGACTTATTTTTCAAAGAATAAGGTTGAGAATCTATTAAATAAATTCATGACTTAGCGAATTTGGCGATATCAATGCCGGGACTAAATTTGTTCAACTCTTGATTAAATAATTCTTCTATTAAGATATAATTTTTAACTATATCATATGCACACGTAACTTCACTTTAATAATAACATAGCGTTACCTGTATTGTAGGTATTCGTAGAAAGTGCCTCCATTGAAATAACTGGGTGCAGCGGGGTTACCCATCAGAGAAAGGTACTGCAGGTTAGGACACGACTCCTTCAGCTTACCCACCCATGGGTAGAGCGACGCTATCTTACAACGATTCAACCTGCAGAAAGAAAAAAGAAAATGTTAAATTAGCAACACCTTCCAATATGGCGGATTATTTGGTACACTTAAATTTGAACTCTATTTCTTTTTCGTAAGGTCTAATTTTATTTGTTCGATATTGAAAGGATAGGGGCAAAACTAATTTCAAAGTCCACTGATTGTTGCATTTGAATCATCATCATCATCAACAGCCTATAAATGCCCACTGCTGAGCAAAGCCTCTTCTCACACGGAGAAGGTTAGAGCATTAATCACCACGCTTGCTCAATGCGGGTTGGCGATTTCAAACTTATAATTAGAAATTATAAGTCCAGGTTTCCTCACGATGTTTTTCCTTCACCGTTTGTCAGTGGTGTCTAAATAATCTTAGAAAGTACATATAACTCGGAAAAAGTCACATTGGTACTTGCCGTTGGTAGGTTTCGAACCCGCACCCTCATGCATGAGAAGTGGGCGTCTTAAACCTCCGGGCCACCACGACATTTGAATAGCATCTTTATTTCCATTGCATTAGGTTTAATTTCGTTTAACTAACAAATTGACACAAAAACAATTATGAATAGAGAGATTATCTGAAAACATTACACTTTTAAGACTATCATACAGATTATCTAGATTTACTTGTAAACTATATTAACCTTGTCCCACAAATTAGATAACAGAATTTATAAATATCATCAAGGATAGCAATAAACAACTAAAATGCATTTGTAAAAATAACATCGCGTCGTTTATTAACCCAAGGAGTTTCACCTTCTGCTTAGCTATAATATTGATTGCAGTATAACGTTATATAGCCTACAGCCTTCTTCGATAAATCCGGAACAAAAATAATTATTAAATTAGAACCAGTGGTTCTGAAGATTAGCACATTCAAAATACTGGTCACCGGTGACCAATGTTAGCAGAGGACTTGCCTTCAGCAGTTTTTTATTTTTTTTTATTTATTTATTACAGTTCATTAAGTACCACGGTTGAAAACAAAAACCAATTAAAGTAACTGGACATACTCATAAACAGATTAAAAAAGAATATAATATTAAGTAAGTATAGATTTTTTACTCACCACAGCAGTTCTAATTTGGGCAGTGGAGGTAAGTAGCAGTTCTCAGTGATGGGATTATCATCAGCTATCAGTGAGGTGAGGCTCTTGAAGTACACTAGGGCATCAAGATTTCTAGAAATGAGAAATTCAGAAAAGTTCATTCACAAAAAAGAAGATTAATCATATTTGTTACCAATTATTCTCTCTGTGGGTGTGGACATTTGATAGGGACTAGGCAGCAGTACTCACTATTAAAGCACCTATTAAAGAGTAGGGATTAAAACAAACCCCTCTTGTGTAAAGGAGGCCCATACCCATAGCGCAACAGTGCACTATTATATGTTGATGTATGGAGACAAATATTTAAGTATTAAAACTTACGTGATCTTATTATGACTAATATCCAGGTACTTGATGTGGTCGGAAAACCTCTCCACAATAGTTTTTGGTATTTCATAGAGCCTCTCATAAGCTAGGGTTAGTCTTCCATTCTCTTCCTCATTGTCTGCAGTCGTGCCCACAGATCTGAAACATTTCATAAGTATTGAATTGTGTTTTATTGAAGATTAATATCATATCTGCCTATCTGGATAGTTATTCAGTCACATAAATATGATTTTTATTGAAAAAGAGTTGAATTAGACGAAAAAGTTTTAAGCATTGAGGAAGGTTGAAGTATAAACGGATTATAACTAAGTACCTAGCTAGAGGTGTATCAAACTTTTTTATTGTTACTGGTTAAAGATGGACTATCATCAATTTTATTGCACCCTTATCATAATTAACATTATTTTACAAAACTGAACACCAAAACAATTTTTTTTTATCAAGTTCATTGTTGATGATATTGATAGTTAAACAGCCCTTTTAATACTCACGCAATAATATCAGGCGGTATAGGAGTCTCAGACATGTCGGTCATAGAGTCAACTAGAGCGTCTCTGGAGACATCCACTGATATCACACCTTCATCAGGAGCAGGTTGCACACTGGGGTAACTGAAGAAAAAAACTTATTTATATTCATACTGTAATGTTTATTATTATTTTTAACTTTACATGCACAATATCTTAAGACTATTATTCTATTAATTAAATACATTTATTAAAATTTTATAATTGGAACAATACATCGATTAAAATAAAAATAAGTACGAAGATTAAAAAGTTCAAATTTGAATTTAGATTTAGAATGCAGGGAGACCGTGTAGGTATGTAGAATTGTGCATTTGTTTAGAATAATTAATATAACATAAAACTATTTTAAAAATTAAACATTTTTGAATATAAAAAACCGACTTCAAAAAACCAAAAACTAATAACAAACAAAAAGTCAAAACTAAAAAGCAAAAAATAACTATTATTAGTACTGATAGGTTACCCACCCACTGATAGGTAAGAAGTCGGTGCCATAAGTTCCATACAAAATTATTCATTAATACCTTAATAGGTACCTAATTCACAATTTTGTGGACATTAAGTTATATCATTATGATATGAGCTTATGGCACCGACTTCTAACCTATCAGTGGGTGGGTAACCTATCAGTACTAATAATAGTTATTTTTTGCTTTTTAGTTTTGACTTTTTGTTTGTTATTAGTTTTTGGTTTTTTGAAGTCGGTTTTTTAAACGCAGTTTTTATTTTATTATTTTATCATTTTCAGTGTTAAGTTCCATATACCCGTTTTGTTACTTATAATCTACATAGGTGCAAAGTTCTAATCAATACAAATTATACAAGCCCAAACACAAGGTAGTTACAATATACCGTTGAGGAGTTCCCTTAACAATTACACTTCTTCATCATCAGACCCTTAATGACAGCCCCACTCTATCTAGGTGTAAAGTCCTCATCAATACAAATTAATTAAGTCCAAACACAAGGTAGTTACTGTATACCGTTGAGGAGTTTCCTTAACAATTACACTTCTTCATCATCAGACCCTTAATGACAGCCCCACTCTATCTAGGTGTAAAGTCCTCATCAATATAAATTAATCAAGCCCAAACACAAGGTAGTTAATATGAACCGCTGAGGAGTTCCCTCGACTGTCTGTCGGCTCCATCATCAGGTCGACTCCAGACCCTTATCAAATTGTAGTGTTTAAAAATCGTAATTGAAAAACATAATAGACGCATTACTCGCCCATAGAATTTTCGAAAGTTCCCCTCGGTTTCCCTAGGATCCCATCATCAGATCCTGACCTCATGGAAATGGGACCATCTTGGGAGTATACCCATTCAAACAAAAAAAGAATTTTGCAAATCGCTTCACGCATCTCAGAGTTATGCGCGTACATACATACAAAAAAAAAAAAAAAAAAAAGCAACATACCGGCCGAACGTATAACCTCCTCCTTTTTTGTTTGAAGTCGGTTAAAAATAAAGTTACAAAAAGTTTTTAGAATGGGGACCTTGGATTCACTACATTTAAAGGTCAAAATAGTTTATCAAAACCTTTCTACTTATTTAATTATATACCTATTTTAATAATGGTTTAATCTATTATTATGGCTTCACTTTATTTACTTTGTTTTTTGATTGTTTCAGTAATTCCAACACAAATCAAGACAAATCTCAGAATCTCACTGAGTAGACGTCAGACAGGTAAAACAGGTGTTCCCTTCATCAAAAATCTACCTTTGTTCATAGTAGTTTTAATCTACCAAATATTAAAAAAGCAATAAAAATTTATGTTGTTCTTTTTGATAGATGTCTTAGAATTTATTATTAATTAAACCCGAGGAGAGATGATTAAATGATACTAATCAACATAATGCCGAACTAATCAAAGTCATGCGTATCTATAGGTACATACCTATTTACAAATGATTGATCATCGTCCATTTTGTATGATAGAATTTGTAGAATATTATGAGATTAAACGCACGAACGGAATTTTTAAAATTATTTTCCACCCATTTTAATTGAATTTAACACAATTACACAATATCAGAACAATAAATAAAGTAGGTAACTGTTTAATGCGTCCATGTGCGCGGTTATCTATCGACTCCGTATACCAATAGCAGAGACAGTGATAAGCAAATAGTTTATTTGTATAAAGCCATATAGGTAGGCACATTGATAAGACCTCGAGGTTCGACACTTGATAATACATTTGACTGTGTATAATTACATTTACAACATACTAGTCATTCTACTGAATGGATAGAATGGTACGTACTACGTATTAATGTTGTAGGTAAAAGAAGCGTACGAGTTTATCTGTTATCTGGATCAATAATAAATACTTAGCTAAGCGATGATCAAGAAGTTTGTGCAGATTAAGATGTGTGAAGGAGACAGATCTTCCTGTTTTAAAATCAATATTGACCTTATTTAAACACACTGTTTCCACCGCCACTGTCGATAGATTAATGTTTGGATTTAAAGGATTTAAACTTTTACAAGGCCTACGTATGTATTAAAAGTTTAGTACTTGAAATCTGTCTCACTACTAGATACAGGTTTCTTTTCATAAGACCGTTATGTATTACCTTAACATGCAAATAAAGAGTTTGAGTTTGAATATACGAAGATATTGGCGAATTTCAGTCATATATTTTTTATGTTTCATGTACCTTCATGTAAGTGGCAAAAACTGAATTGTGACTTGCCTGGTCTCGAATTCACATTCTCTTGTTTGAGTGGCGGGCACTTCTGAGATGCGACGGCAAGTAACACTGCGCATTCTTTAAAAGAAAGACTTAAAAACACTTTTTTTACAACTCAACGTCGTGCGGCGTCACCATTGAAATGAAATGTGCATCATTTTATTTTTTCTGTAGCACATTTACTTAATGTGAGCGTGAATGTAAACACATTCCTATGCGTAGTGAGACCCTACGCGGCTTCGTTACCTATTTTACGATGTCCCTTGCAACGTTAGAGTGCGTCTTGGTGCCTAACGCGAAGTCTTAGCTTCTTCCAGCATCTACTGTCGAATCGCGTCTCGGTGAGCTGACCCATAAGTTCTCATTCGCCATCGTTTCGAGATTGTGTTGGATCCTTAAACACTTTCAATATAATTGAAACTATTTTTATTGACTGCCTCGTTGGCCGAGTGGTCGCAAGTGCGAGTCGCAAGGGTAAGGGGTCTCGTGTTCGATTCCTGGGTCGGGCAAAGTACTACCTCAGCGGTAGCACGGAGTCTAGAATTGTGCCCGGTACACGGTAATAGGCTCAACCCTTATTACATGGGACTCATGACATAAATAGTAAAATAGGAGTGTTACATTGTACATACAGTAGCATTAAATGCCATAATGTGCACCTTTGCCTACCCCTTCGGAGATAAAAGGCGTGATGTTATATGATATTATGAAACTAATGTTTTTTTATTAAATGGCATTGCATGCTTTCGTTTATCAAACAAACAGAACGGGAATCTGGAATGGAAAATAACATTAATTGAATATGGTAGCTTTCTAATTTATGATAAAGGCAACATTTCCACTGAAACGTCATGTGTCGTCAGACACGTCATAACAACAACAGCTGGTGTTGGCCAAAATAAATTCGTGTAAAAATTGTATTTCAGTTCTGTGTAAAATAAATAAAAAGTAAAAAAAATAAAACATGGACGTAAGTAATTTTAACATTAGTCGTAAGTATGAAATGACAGGAAAAAGGTATAGATAATTTAATTCATAACCTGTTTTAGGAGAGTAATATTCCAATAGACATTAATATTGGTAAATTACAAGATTGGTTGGTTAGTCGTCGGCATGTAAGTAAAGAATGGCAGAAGGGTGTCCCGGCTGTGAGGGAGAAGATCAACAATGCGTTGCAGGACATGCCTAAACATGATGACATAGCTAGCCTGCTGGCTGGCAGCTACATCAACTATTTCCATTGCTTAAAAATCATTGAAATCTTGAAAGAAACTGAGGCAGACAGTAAAAACCTCTTTGGAAGGTAATAAAACACAATTTAACTTTATATTCTGTTTTAAACTTAGAAAAAGTTAAAGTAGAAACGAGTTCCAATATGCCAGCACCTTTTACCTGTTTCCTATTGGAAGTATTTTATTCATAAATAGTTATTGTAATACAATTTTATCAGATATGTCTTATTATTACTCACTCACTCTTGACTTTGTATTAACTAAAGAATGAATTACATTATTTTACATAAATATAAATTAAGTAGCTACTTCCGCGCGGTTTCATACACTCTGCTCAGCTTCTATTGGTCGTAGCGTGATGTTTTATAGCCTATAGCTATCCTCGATAAATGCGCTATCCAACACAAAAAGAATTATTCAAATCATACTTGTAGTTACAGATATTAGCATGTTCAAACAAATAAGCAAAAAAAAACAAACTCTTCCTCTTTATATAATAGTATAAGATTTATTTACCTTGACACATTTATATGATTCTAGTTCTAACACTGTTATGAATATGATTATAGGTATGGGTCACAAAGGATGAAGGACTGGCAGGATATAGCCCGCAACTATGAGAGAGACAACCTGTACTTAGCAGAGGCAGCTCAAATCTTAGTGAGGAACATTAACTATGAGATACCGGGACTTAAGAAACAGATTACTAAAGAAGAACAGTTGCAAGTTGTAAGTGATTAAGAATCAAAATTTTTAAGTTTGGGAGAGCCATGCTTCGGCGCTAATGGGCCGACTCCACTGCAGTGATACCACGGCAAACAGACGTGTGTTGCATTGTGTTTCGTCGAATGAGTGAGGTTACCTGAGGAGGCCTAATTACTGCCCTCTCCAATCTCCCTAAATACCCTATGAATCCTCAAATTTCGAATCCCCAAATGGCTTGTAATGCACTTGTAACGGCTGTGTTTTGGGTGTCCATGGGCGACGCCGATTACTTACCATCTGGTGATCTGTCTTGCTTGTTTACCGGCTTATGCCATTTTATTTTTTTGTTCTGTTTTAGGTAGGTACTTTGTAAAGCTAATAAGCTCATATTGGCAAACAGAGATTCTAATAATATTCTTATAGAGAAAAATGAATGAATATCTACATTGTTGCTCCATTACAATAAATATTGCTTAATTTTTTATTGCTATCTATTACAGTGTTTACCTGTGAGGCAACACTCCCTGACCATAGCATGTTTATATTTCTATCTCAGTCAGATCTTAGTGGTTATTATTGTTGTTGCGACTGGAGTGTGAGATAGACATATGTTTCTTTGGAATATCTAGTGGTTTCAAAACTACATCTTTGTATGTCTAAAGTGGTTCAAGGTTTTTTGACGCGCGGTAATGAATATTACTTCTCTATAGGTTTATGTCAATGGTTGATTGTGTTTTAGTATTTAATGCCCAATAAAGGTTCATTGTTAAGCAATGATTTGAAATAATTCAAAGCTTATTTAAAGAAATATATTTTTGTGAGATTGAGTTTAGAATTCTCTGATATTTATTTCTCGGAATAATTTTAATTGATTTTTGTACTCCTATGTGCCATGAACGTCATAGTTAAAGTGTAACTGATACATAAAACTATTATTTACAGGAATGTGAGAAGAAGCACTCAGATTTTCTAAAGAATGAAGCTTCCAGTAAGACAGAGTTCTTGACGCTTTGCAAACAGCTTGGCATTCAAGGGGAGAGAATTAAGAAGGAGCTGGTGGACAGACTACAGGAGTTGCCAGATATTTATGATAAGGTAGGTCTATTCATGTTAATATGATGTTATAAAATGCGTCTCTCGCCATCAAACGTTAAAGTTTGGCGAGTTTAGATTGAAGGCCACACCAACAGGGTGTGCCTGAAGTAGACAATCAAATGGCACCAGATGATAGGCAAAGTTCCTACAGTTATCAGAAAAATATTAAATAAATTCCAAGTCAGAGGTTTTTTAAATTACAATGACTTATGTGTTCGATTTCTGAGACAGGCAAAGTATTACTGGGTTAAAAAAAAATCAGTAGTAGCATGGAGTCTGCAATTGTGCCCGGTATATGGCAATAGGCTCACCCTCTATTACATGGAATGCGTAACATAAATAATGAAAACTGGGTGTTACATTGTACAGTTGCATTAAGTGCCGTAGAGTGAACCTCTGACTACCCCTTCGGGCCTTCAGACATAAAAGGCGTGATGTTATGTTATTTATGTTACTTTGGGAACAAAAGGTGTGATGTTAGTATATGTTCTACTATAGAAAAAGAGATTGTTTTATTGATTACTTAGAAAAAATTGTAGAAGGTATTATCACATTTACAAAATCCTCACAAAATTAATAGTGGCATGGTCAGTCAAGGGGTGCATCTGAATAAAGTAATATCAATAACGCCTACCTCTGAGGAGAAAAAGGCGTGATGTTATATTGACAACTAGTACCAACATTAATTGAATAATTTTCTTTTTTTAATGCCCCACTAACTGGTCCTAGGATACTATTTACAAGGTGCATAATGTAAGTAACAATTGCACTTTTACTAACTGTATTGGAATTCCTGAGATTAGACAATTACACAGGACATAATATTATATATTATACCATTCAATTGCGACCATACATCACCAAGGCATGGGCAATATTATTCTCTAAATTTTCTATGACGTAACTGCGCCTCTTAAGACTCCTGCCGAGCCTGAGGATAATGGTGAACCTCCACCTTAAAGAAGGCCTCCCTTAGGCAGTCTACTAGTAGAAGTTTATGCCTAATTGATACTACACTTAAAGTTCATTTTATTTACAGATAGGCACATCATTAAAGCCGTTACAGCCAGCCATAGACTTATACGCAGCATTTTCAAAATACATTCTCGGTGACAGAGCGACAGAGGTATTGCCATTATTGCAATTTGTGGTGGAGCATGGCAACACCACGATGTACGAGTGGAGTTACGGGGAAGCCCCGCTTAGTGTCGAACCTGATCCTATTCATATTGAAATTGATGATGAAGACCAGGGTGCTGGGGATCAGGTAAGGAGACAATTTTTATGTATAACATGTGGAGTTTGAGACGAAAATAATTTTGAGATTTGAAATGAAACTTTAAAATAGCCTTAAGTATAATTGATAAACTGATATAATATTCCTGATCACTTAAAATAATTATATTTGCATCTGTTCCGACGCCTTCGCAGACTCAAAGCACGTCTTGTGACATTTTTGGTAATATTATTAATTCTTTGGTCAGGTTTGTTTCCTTTTTTCATCATATTCATCCAAATGAATAAAAGTGCCTTTATAATAATAAGTTACTAGCGTCTGCCGGCGACTTCTTACGCGCAATCTCGTTTTCTCCAGTTTCCATGGGATTTTCAGGATTTTCTCTGTCTTAAGAACCTTATTCTAATAATAACAAGTACAACAAAAAAAGAATAAGAATTTATGCTTCGTACGGGTACTACGGGTGCAATATGCATGTATTGTACATATAACCCTTCCTTCAAAATCATTCTATCTATTAAAAAAACCGCATCAAAATCCGTTGCGTAGTTTTAAGGATCTAAGCATACATAGGGACAGACAGACGGTGGATACGAGTTTGTTTTATACTATGTAGTGATAGATTTATAGTATCTAAATGTTTCCATTATCAGATAGACTTCGGTGATGGTGGTGAGATCGACTTCGGCTCACTGGACGCGCCGGCGGAGATCGACTTCGGCGACGGAGACGCCGGCGCCGAGATAGACTGGGGGAACATTGATGTCGCGGCCCCGGAAAATATTGTAAGTAAAATAATAATAAAATCATCAAAATCATATTTCTTTTGTCGATGCTTTTGTTCTCTTCTTACATTCTTACCTTCAAACCTTCAAGAAAAGAGCGTACTTCTTTGTAAAAGGCAGGCAACGCAACTGTGACTCCTCTGGTGTTACGGGTGTCCATGGGCGGCGGATCGCTTACCATCAGGTGATCCGTCTGCTCGTTTGCCTCCTATTCCTTAAAAAAAAGGATACGGTGAGGCAACCTGGCAAACATTGGCAAACATTGTGAGGCAACCTGGACCTTACAATCATAATTTTGAAATCGCCAATCCGCGTTAAGCAAGCATAGTGATTAGTGCTCACCTTCTCCGTGTGGCTAATAAGCTGATGAATTGATGATAATGAATACCTATTTTTTGCCAGGATATATCAGCAGACCTAGCCCACGTGTCCCTCGAGGAGTCCGGCATAGTGGTGGAGGAGCAGGGGGTGTGCGGCGGAGTGGCGCGGGGGAAGGATGCACTCACTCTACTCGACAACCCCGCTACTAGGAACCAGATCATCGACCAGCTTGTTGAGGTATTTTAACTAGGATTTATGTTAAAGTTGTACATTTTGTTATAATTACACTAAAATGGTACCTGAAAGATACAAATTATCCTGTTTATCAGTATTTCTGTAAATCTGTTGTACGTATATTCTTGTAGAAAAGAGAATGAACAAAAACATGTTTAGTTAGATTTTGTTTTCATCTTTCTTTCATTTACTTTAATGAATAATTTTAAGTTAAAAAAGTTGATTAATAATCTTTGAAAACTCACACAATCGATCTAACAAGACTTATCATATTATAATCACGAGTTATCAGGATTCTAATACCTATCAAAGATTTATAACAAATCCTTTTTCTCCTCATATCTCGTCTGCTATATAATACAATAGGAATTACGGCATACTACAAGCTAATAAATGTTTGTTCACCTCCTTAGCTGGAATCATTCCTAAAGATGCGTCTATACGAGACGAACACGTCGGGTGACAACCACTCCTTCAGCTTACTGGAGCAGCTCCCCACAGAGAGCACGGCGGCGCTGACCGCCATGTTGGATGCTGTACAGGTCGCTGCTAGCAAACTCACTGCGCCTGAGATGAACCATCTACATAATGTTAAGCATTCTCCTAGGTAAGTGATTCAAGGTTACGTTTTTTTACTGTAGTTATACGGTATGACTTATTTTGAAGCTTACCTACTTAACCAGGTTCCTCGTGGTTCATATTCTGAGATTGTCGAAATAATAATAATATAATTATGTTTTGAACACATTATTCCAATGTATTCCAAAACCTAATATTTTTTACAAGGACGATAAACGACTGATGCTTCTAGTTTCTGCAGGTAAAGCTAAACAATTGCTTCGAGCCAACTCGTTCACCGCTATCCCCATAAAATCCAAGGCATTTTAGACCAAGATCTAAAACAACACTAGCGCCATCTACTGAGCACAAAACAGTAGCTCTACTAGCCACAAAATACTATCGAAACTCACAATAATACTTCCCCAACAGGTACGTGGACGTTTTAACAGCCCAACTGAAACAGAAGCTAGCTCTATGCGACAAGTTGTCCCGCCTGGCGTCGCGCGCGGCGGACCAGAGCGCGGCGGCCGGCGCGCGCGCCACCGAGCTGCGCCCTGTACTCACGCGCATCATTGCCAGGACTAAGGAGCTGCAGGCACAGGTACCTAGCATACTTACATTCGTAGATCAGGGAGCTTACTCTTGAATCAAATGGGGTCTACCATATCTGTGCTTACTAGATGTCGCTAGTGTGTGTGAACCTCTCGTTCTTAGTCCAATAGGAAATAAGCTAGTGTCATACCACGTTCAATATTTGACATCTAGTATGATTGACAAAAATTCCCTTCTACATTTTAGCCATCTGGTCAAAATAACATAACATCACGCCTTTTATCCTCGACGGGGTAGGCACTAGGCAGACGTGGATATTAACTCGTCGAGTACCGTATTTATAGACACAATTAAAGAACAATAGGTTGCGGTCACCGGTGACCGCTTGGTGTTTGACAGTTTAAGGCAATTAATGCCACTGTGCAATGTAAACCCTACTTTTCAATATTTATGTTATGAGTCCCATTTAATAGGGGGCGCGCTTATTGCCATATAGCGGGCACAATTCCAGACTCCGTGCTACTACTGAGATTTTTTTTTAAAAACCCAGTTATACTTTGCCTGACCCGGGTATTAAACCCGAGATCCCTTGCAGTCGCACTTGCGACCACTCAGCCAACGAGGCAGTCTGGTGAAAATAAATACGGTAATACGTAACACCCATTCCGATCGATTGACATTAATTATGAAGTTTCATTCTCTTGAGTCGTAATCCTGGCGCCCATTGCATCCATACTGAGTGAACTAAATGGTATTGATTTCAGTTTGGTGTATTGTCGTTAATTGCTGTATCTTGTAGCAAGGTTTGCTAATAAAACTTTTCTTTTCATAGATTGAAAGCGAGATCTCGAAGAAGTACAAAGGTCGGCCGGTGAACATCATTGGAGGCGTCAAGTTCTTATAGATTCTCTATTATTGTACATATTGTTGGTTCTATTCGTTATTATAAATAAATTATATATATATACGGTTCATTTTATACAACTTTGGCGTATTTATTTAAACGTTCTAATCATTATTATTTTTTTAGTTTCTCCGCCAGCGTTCCCTAGTGCCTAGTAGGATAAAAACTGGCCTATGTGTGATTCTGGACCATAATCTACCCCATATCAAATCATACCCATTCCAAACTTCATCATACTCATCTCATACTAATATTCTGACAGTTTGCGACCCACGCAAATGTTCTTTAGGTTGGTATTGTTCGTCGAATCACTCAGCCTCATCTGTTAATTGAGCTGACTGTAAACCGACACATGCGTACTGCCTTCAGAACGGGTCCGCTCAAACTGTTGTGGTTCTTTCCTCAAAAGGCCACTACAGAAAGAACTTGCGCGGTTCTCACACATAATCTTTTTATACATATTTGTCTGGACTTTAAAAGATACGGACTTCTGAGTTTGTTTCGGCATTTCTTCTCAGAGTAGTCAGTTAGGAAATGTCGGCCTCATCGTTCGCTTGATAAAATTGACGTGTAAAAGTGCTGCCTTGTAGCCTGCTTTGCAGAAATAAATTCACTTGTTTCACTTGTTTCACTTGTTTCACTTGTTTCACTTGTTTCATCTCGATCCTTTCAGCCATTATAACATGAAAGAGTAACAAACACACGCATTTATAGTATTAGTAGGACGTAGGACTAGTAGGTATAAGAACAGTTGCCTGCGGCTTCTCCCGTGTTTCAGAGTATGTGTACATGTGTATGTATTTAGTACTAGCTTTTACCCGCGTCACAAAAGGATAAAAAGTAGCCTATGTGACATATACCCATACACACAGCGCCATCTATACCAATTCTTTTTTTTTCCCTCGGGAATATCAAATTTTTCCGGGATGAAAAGTACCCTATTATTTAATCCGGACTTCTAACTTTACGTCTGCAAAATTTCAAAGCAATCGGTTTAGTAGTTACGGCGAGAAAGCAGAACAAACAAACTCACTTTCCGATTTATAATATTAGTAAGGACTAGTAAGGATGCAGTTAAAAAAACTGTACTTTCTTGATATTTTCAATAACTACTCTCTTTGGACAGTAGGTATTGCAATTATAATACTAAGGGCTCGTACACAAAACTGCGTTGCGACGTCGCATCGCAAAAATGTGCGAGCACCCTCTACGCGTCGCAAGTCCTTGCGAATTGATTCGCATCGCGCATCACAGTCTTATCTTACCAAAATCTTTTTCTTTTTCCTGTATCTCCTAAGCAATAACAGAAGTGCACACTTCTTTTTGTCACGACTTGGTTTTCAACTTAAAATACGTTCAGTACGGTTGACGGTCGTCAAAGGAATGGTCACCCGGGGAGACTTGTAGTACTAAATCGCATCGCAGCGAATTCGCATCGCATCGCAGTTTTGTGTACGAGCCCTAGGTTATATGGTTTGTAATGAAGCAAGCCAAATCTTTTATAACATATCGGGTCAGGTAGACAATGAATGGTACTGTGTCTCTGCGGAATTAACCTTTATTTTCTTCTTACATGGATACTGAATAACTTTGTTGGCTGTATAAACCAACAAAACACTTTATGATAATATGTAGTATACTTTTTTTTGTAAGGCGAAAAGCATCCAATGATTTCTCCCGCCCGGGTGAGCCGAGAGGGAATGTGAGACTCTTACTAACTAAAAACCACCCCATTCCTACTCCTCCACTTGGAGCCGGAGCCCCGGCAACCCGTTAAGCCCTCCGCGGCTCATGATAATAATACACTTAAGTATATGTATAAAGGTCAATCCTAAGTACTTACATTGAACAATCTCTTCATTATACTTAAAATAAGCAACTCGTTAAAAGCACTTCGCGCTTGAAGTAAGGTCAGACCACATCAAAATCGGCGCAGCAATTACAGAGATTAGGTGTAAAGTCCGAACAAACACTTGTAGAGTGACTAGCAGTATTGGTACTGCTAGTATGTACAATCGACAAAATTGTAGAGTTAGATTCTCTACAATTATAAGCTAAGCATAACATTTTTTGTACATCCCTAAATGCCCTTTTTTACGGTTCTTACCCTGGTGCAAGTAGACTAGGATGCAGAGTTTTTTCATAGGATTTTCGACTTTATACCCAATACAATAAACTTGAAGATGTAGAGGTAATAGTGAAATTTGACACAAAAGGATAGATTGATCTACTAGCTACTATACATTTTATAAAATGCAGCTTTTTAATACATAATAATATGACGTATAGCAATCACCGCGTCTAGGCAACGTAGTATAGGGCGCCCTCCAGCTAGGTGGAGTGACGATATCCGCAGAGTGGCTGGCAGTGTTTGGATCGAGCAGAAGATCGAGCTCAGTGGCGTGCTATTGGATAGCCCTATGTCCAGCAGTGGACGAGAACAGATTGTTGATAATGGTAGCAATCACATCATCCAATTACTTTTAAATTCTTCAAAAGCTTCGACAGGCGGCTAGCTTTTGGGGAGAAAAACTAGGGTTTGTGGTACCTACTCACACCCTGGTGGCCACCATCAGTACCTGTGGTTACATGGGTTCCTTACTGTAGCAGATTAGGGCTGTTCTTCACAATGAATTTGTGAAACTGAGAAAATTGGGGGAACGCGGAGCGTTTTCAATACACGCTTACTCGCTAAACGTTCCCCTATACTTACGTTTCGGCGGCTAAACGTTTCGGCGGCGACTGTTGGCATTGGTACAGTCGTACAGTGGGCGCGAGACCGCGCGGCTTCGATTTTTGAATTTTAGAGCGAACACACTTTGTTACCGCCATTTTTCTTGTCGCGCTTCGCACGTAATTTCAAATTACAAAAGAGGTTTTTAACAAAGAGTTGCTTACACTTATCTACACTAAATAGACCAGTAGAGCTTTTTATAATAATTACTAAAACTATATACAATCTTAGTCTAGATCCCACTCACCTACAAGACTGACATTTGCTGACAGTACCTACTGATGTGTCAATAGTTCACGAGATTCGCACACTTGTGACATACGCACACACTGCTTCCGAAGGCTATTGACAAATAAACATTTGTGGACGCATCTTGTATTATTGTTTACTGTATGATGCAAAAACATTAAATTTGTTGGCGATGATTTCGTAGGTGGATAGAGTTTAGACTGGTTCACAAGTGTGGCACTAGTTTTTTTTTCATATAAACTAAGTTCGGATGAGAATTTTAAAGTTCAGGCTTTTCCTACCTCATTTTTATAAAGATGGAAACTGGTAAAATAAAATGATGATATATTAAAGAAGGGCTTAATTAAAAATACCCCTAGCCGCTAACCGACGAGTAGTATGTATGTATGAAAAGACTGATGACTGTTGTTGAAGCTAAAGATGTATGTAAGAATCGTAGCAATTGGCGTTCCATAGCCTCTGCCTACTCGCATAGGAGAGAGGCGTGAGAATATGTAAGTATATATTATGTATGTATATAAAAAAAAAAACAACACGCTCGTTACTATTAATCAGATTTAAATTAACAAATCCAATACAAGGGTTTATTGAAATATGTTTACATGCTACTTGCAGTCGACCTTAAATTACAAAAAAAAATATACCATGTACACCTTAAAGTAAACTAACACTAAAACAGTAAACACGAAAAGTAACTAATATAAAAAAATACCTTTTACATACTAATTTTATAAAAAATACAACCATAGACATTTTTTTAACTAAGTACATAAATATGTATAACTTAACCATAAAAATACACATAGGGGTAATAGTAATAATACGAAGGGTAATAGACGGGGTAATAATAATAAGGGTAATAATAAGGCCAGTAGACCACGCACTCAGGCTTTTTGTCTTTTTCTGTATCATTTGCGCCATTTCTTCTCATATGTTGTGAGTTTGGCAGGCAGTTCGGTTTTGCTGGATTCGATCTACATTCGTTTAGTAATATTATTGTAATGAATATTACAAAGATGTTGAACAACCGGACCATCTGTAAATAAGTATTTTATTTAAAGTTTTTGGGTACCTACCCACATAGGTATGAATGAATGAATTTAATGTGTTTTTAAGGGGGGAAAATCATCGTATGACTGCTCCCGCCTGGGTAAGGCGGGAGGGAGTGTCAGACTCTTACTGACTAAAAACTACCCCGTTCCTTCTCCTGCACGTCGAGCCGGAGCCCCGGTTATCCGTTAGGTTCTCCGCGACGAATTTAATGTGTAGGGCCCGGTCCCGTTGTACATAATATTCAACAGAGACCGGGCAGCAGCGCTGTCTAAATAGCGTGAACCATTTACACTGCGATCCTCAATCCGCCTGCCAGGCATGCGGATAATGGCAAGCCCCTCTTATGTAGTGGAGGCCTGGAAACCAGTAGTCACGGACTGTTAATGAATTGCCCGGCTGTAGTCTCACACGATAGGGGTCATGTTGAAGCCAAGGTAAGTGTATAAAACTGTCTACCTCCTCAAAGATTAAACAGGCGTGACGATTTCTTACTTTACGTACCTATGCTAAAAATATTATATCTTATACTTTTATTTATTATATAAAGCGGAAGAGTTTGTTTTTTTGTTTGTTTGTTTGTATGAACGCACTAATCTCCGTAACTACATGTCTGATTTGAATAATTCTTTTTGTGTTGGATAATGCATTTATCGAGGGTGGCTATAGGCTATAAAACATCACGCTACGACCAATAGGAGCTCAGCAGAGCATGTGAAACCGTGCGGAAGTAGCTAGTATTATATAATTTATAAACTATTGTTAATTTAATACTTACATTTGTCGGCAACATTTTTCAAATTTCAAGACGTTTTGATCCTCTAAGTTACAACTGAGAATACTGCAACTTCAATCAATGTAGCTGCACGTTACGAAATACAAATATTATGCTGTCTTATAAAACGACATTATCAATGGTCTTGCTGTTGACATAGCCAGGTAATCAACTATTGATTCACCGTGAACTATCATTGATTAGTTTGTCATTATTAATCTGATTTGTATCTTCAATTGTGACTAGAAATCTCAGCTCTTCAAAACTGCGATGGATGAATTCAGCTGCTTAATATATCGTATCGATATTAAGTGAATTTATTTACTTTTATTACTACGGTGAATCTGTAAAAAGATGACATTTATTTTAAAATTGATATTGATATTGGTAGTTTGGTGGAATTAATGGGAGGATGTGGTCAGGAAACTAAATGAACGAAAAGATGCTAATATTGTGTTTATTACTTCAAACTTAGGGCCGTCCAAATAAGTAAAGCCATTTAACCAATTCGGTTGTATTTTATAAAATAAGTGATTTATGTTCATAGATAGACTATAAGTAGTAAGGTAGGTGTATTGGTTTTAACAATGTCTATGTTTTAACACAAATGGAATACTTATAGGTCGTTAGCGGAATTTAGTAATTAATAAACTTGTTTTATTCATAATTCAAAAATACGAAACACAAAGATATATAAATACGTACAATTGTCCTCACAATGTTAAATACCTGCAATAGGACAATCCTGTATCGCAGGCGAGAGGAGTTCTAAATGTAGAATTACAAAGCCGATATTTAGTATCTAGCAAGCAAATCTTTTATTGATAAAGTATGCGGGCTTCGCTATAGTAGGTAGAATCTTCTCAGTTAGATAAGGAGTAGGTATCTAAGCTTGATTGATCGTTCTTGCCATATCTAGCCTTGGACTTGGTTGAAAATTTTGTATAGGTACCTACCGGTCTACTTACTAACTTGATACTTGCACTTCTTTTAGGTTTTGATTCTGAACCCACACATTGATAATGAAGGGTACCTTAACCTTTAAATCACCAAGACTTTATAACATGAAAATTAATTTTATTCGGATTTTTAACCACTTGGTATCTACTCTGCGTAGGTACTAGGCATGTGCTTAATTTACTTTGACATTTTTGTTATTTTCCCAATTAAAGTAGAAAATAATTTTTATAATCACCTGGGTATATCTAATTATCCGTAACTATCTGAACACTCTAACATGTATTGTGTTTCTTAATTAAATGGCTAACTACTTAATAAAAAGAATGAATTCTTATCTAGAATATTTGTACAATTTATTTTCTCGATTTCACCTGTATTAGAATATGTATATTGGATTACAAACATGCTGAAGCATGGCTCTCCTACGGGAAATAGGGCTACATGTTTAGTATAATATCTAACGCCCGAATACTGAAAGACTCAATTTAAGTCACGCTTAAGTATAGTTAAAATTGTGGAGTGATCTGTCGTCGGCGGTATTTATTTCCGAACCGATACGACCTTCAAACCTTCAAGAAAAGAGCGTATTCCTTTTTAAAAGGCCGGCAACGCACCTGTAACTCCTCTGGTGTTGCGGGTGTCCATGTCTGCTCGTTTGCCTCATATTCCATAAAAAAATAATCTATCACTACAAACTCTTTGTAAAATGACAGAGATGGCACGATATTTAAGTACAACTTAAAATTGAGCAGCCTTTTAGTGCCCGGGCGTAATTATTTACAATCTATCTATACATAGATATAAAAAAATCGTAGAAAAGTCAAAACTGTACTACATTGAATATTTTTTTTAAATAATACTTGGAGCGTGATCTACAATCGATACCGAAGCCAAAAATGTGGTTTTTAGAATTTTTGTCTGTTTGTCTGTATGTAAGTATATCCGGGATGATCTCAAAAAGTACTGCAGGATAAAGACTTATTCAAAAGCATAAATTCTGCCAGAAGTCTTTATTCTACGCGGATGAAGTCGCGGGCAACAGCTAATTTTAAATATAAATTCATTTAAGTACCTACTGTAAATAGTTTTCCACGTCTAACTTTACTTATATTTTATAATCTGGTAGTATTAGAAACCGCTCCTATACATTGATACTATCACCTCGATCAATTTTTACGCACCACTTTTTTACTGTACAGTTTGGTGCGGAGGCTTTCGCCGCGCGGAATTACTCTTTGTGTGATCCACAGATTATTATTTCGAGCCTGAGTGTCATGTGTATGTGAACTTGTATGTTTGTAAACGCACCCACGACACAGGATTAAATCCTAGTATCCTGTAACCGTTACAGCGTAACGTTTTAAAAAAGAAACATACACGAATTAAGTCCAGGAAAATCTTTCAGCAGTGTGCACAAACAGACGTAAATATATTCTTATCATGTTTAATTGAATTAATTGCTTTGTACAATAACGCACGTGTTTAGAAAAACGTGTGACTCGATGTTGTAGTCGCGTGTACTGGTTAATGGGACGGATAAACTATTCAATATATAATTTGTTGCAAGGTATAGGTAATTATAATGATTAAATATCAATAATGCAGGTATTCACCAATCATTGTGTCGATAGTCGTATCTGCCAATGGTCTCCAAGCTAAAAGTCTTGAGCAATACCTGTGTAGGCTAGCTGAGTAGGTTAGATGGTTGGGTCAAGGGCCTGATGCAGAAAGCAATAACTACTTTTGTACACAGCACGTATTGTCCGGAAATTCCTCTCTCTGGAGCCCTGACCGCCGCGGTAGCTTGGATTTCTCCTGCTAATGATATATTTTTAAATGTATTAACCAAGTACTTTATAAGTTATACTTAATAGGGACATAATTATAGACATTTGGTCCTGCTTGGACCTAAAATTATAAGAACCAGACAATCAAATTGTTTTGTTATAAACATAATCCTATTTACACATAAGCATTCAATCTCAATCAAATTCTTATCAGTATCATCCATACCTATCACATATTTTCACTTCAATAAATCGCCCGATCTTTTGTCTCTATCGTATTACAGGAAAGTAATAGAGATAGCTTATATGTAGACTGAAGATTTTGTATGTTGTGATTTTGAATAAAGATCAGCTGATCGTCTTATAATGGAGGGGCCGGCTTTATTGACCAATCACTCGGAAAAGGTAAGGGTTGCTATCAAGATCGATGTTTTATAAATAAACGTACTGTTGTTCGATTGCTAATCAGTGATATTTTTGGATACTCTATTGTATGTACTCCTATCTTTATGTTCAGAGCTGGTGTTGCTTTGTCGGGTATGAAGAGTGGGTGTGGGAGAGCCGTGGTACGGCACGAATCGGCCAGTTCGACCGGAGTGATAAGTAGTGCTATCACACAAAATCAACGTGAAACAACGCTTGCGCGTGCGTGTGTTTCATCGAGTAAGTGAGGTTACCCTCCGGTATTTGGGCCTCCGCCCAATTACCCCCACTTAAAGGCCGGTAACACTCTTGTAACGTCTATGGTTTTCCAGGTGTCCTTGGGCGACGCCGATTGCTTACCATCAGCTGATCCGTCTACTCGTTTACCGGCGAACTCAAAACGTTCAAATTTAAATACTGAAGGATTCGTTTCTGGTATTGATACTGACGAATTGATATTAACCGCTTGAATGCCCGTATATGAGACGCAATAGAAAATACATTGTGTCTCGCATGGATCCACGTTTAGACACACGACAGGTTAATTGTCTTATGAACCTAAGTGTGTGCTTTATGTAAAACTTACATTAGATGAAAAGTATCTAAGTAAGTTGGTAGCTACCAAGTACCATACTTACATACTCAGATTTTCTATAAAATGAAACTGTTTTGTAGATGTCTCCTCAGAAACATTCAAACTGCGTCAGTAAGACTATTTCCATAGGAAACCTTTTACTATGTCGTAGGAATAGCGATTAAGGTAAACCTTAGCTATTGTTTATTAGTGGTCCCTTACTTTACCAAACAAAGTACCTAAGTGGCCGATTATACTGATTCTAGGCCTAGTACACATGCATATTTGAATACACAAACTGTCATATTCTTTCAACAAGTTTCAGAACTTATTACAACAGAATAAGGTTGGAATTAGAATAAAGTATTTTGTTATTTTGGGGTAACTTCACATGCTGTATAAAGCAAGCTAATGCATCGTGGGATAAAACCATACATTGTATGCTTTATACAATGGTAGAGGTAATCGGTTAGAGATGCAAAGATACGCCACTCGTGCGACCAATTTATTACAATGTATAAATAATAAGTTTTATGCAATTTTTGGAAAGTATAACAATGATTTTAATCTAATTCTTTTGTGTTTTGTTAATGTAGGTGCGTATATATGGCCACCTATATATTATTTCGGTTACTGACTAATGGTTACGACATTTTTTTTAGTTTAGTGTGAAAGTTTCATTTACGTACCTTAGTGATTACTTTTGCTGTAGTCATTGTGGGTAAGTAATGTCATCATTTTAGGTGATTTGACTATATATAGGTACATTTATAACATAACATAACGTCACGCCTTTTATCCCCGAAGGGGTAGGCAGTGGTGCACATTATGCCATTGTACAATGTAACACCCACTTTTCACTATTTATGTTATGAGTCCCATGTAATAGGAGGTGAGCTTATTGCCATATACCGGGCACATTTCCAGACTCCGTGCTATGTACTACTGAGAATTTTTAAAAAACCCAGTACCTAATATTTTGCCCGACCCGGGAATCGAAACCGGTAAGTATCCCTTGCGACCACTCGGCCAACGTGGCAGTCCAGGTACATTTCAGTAAAACTAAATTATAGTATTTTTGTTATGTATTGCAATATTTAACAAAGAGAACAGACTTTGCAATATTAAATCCAATAGGTAGAATTTGGGGTTCATCCATGCAACAGGATAACAGGACACAATAAAACAACTTTAATAATACTAATTTGTTTATTTATTTACAACCTTTATTTAAAATACAATAACATTATTATGGTAACCATTCCATAGGAATGACTTGCTAACTATACATATATTTAATTTGTACAATAGAATTTATTTCTTTAAAAAATGTCATGGTAAAATAGCTCAGAAGCTCAATAAATGCTAATAACCTATTTACATCGAAACACCAAGATCTAGTTAGTAGAACAAAATTTTTCTATGTGATATTAATATTAATCTGTTGGTTGATGTCATCGGAACATGAGCAGGTTTTGCAGCAGTCGTATAGGGGAGGATCGACACAGAGCTCGTCGTCGAGGACACCGGTACCTTCTCACACACATCGCGAATTGTCTGCAATAAGAGAAGTGTAACTTGAATTGCATAATTATCTTGTACCTCTTGCAAACTATAATAGGATGTTGTAATCCTTTTTTAAAAGGTCGGTCCTTCTTTAAGGAGTCAAAACGCCCTAGTGACTCCTTTGGTGTCACAAGAACCTATTTACGATAATAATTTTGATTTTAGTCCCATAAAGAAATCCCAAGAAATGTCACATATAAATAAAGGATAAAGTTTTTCGTATAATTAAATGGAGGTTGAACAGTTTTTGGTAACACAAGCGCCCAAGCGCCATCTAGGCACAAAAATAAAATGGGGTAACAAAAAGAAGCGTCGTTCCGATTGATTGCATGTTATAGGGCATGATATCTTACCTATCACACTCGCAAAGTCGTCCAGCACACCGGTTAATGAAGTCGTGCTGTGAGTCAAAATTCTCCAGCGCACACAGAGGCTGTCCATGATAGCACTTCCAGAAGTAAGGCTGCAGGTATACTGTATAGAATGGACAGTAGATGTTCTCGTAACATTCGTCGTGGAGCTTGCAACACCTGGATATAACAGAAAGGAACTAATTGATATTGGTGGTAATGATTCAATAATTGGAGTTGTAGCTTAAGAATGTTGGTTTAAAATGATGTTAGAGAGGTGAATTAAAACTGTTTGTTGTGTTTTTATTTACACAGGAAATATTATTTGCCATAAGAAATTCCTTCAGCACTAAAATTATCGCATTAAAATTTTTAGTTAAACTAGAGGACGCTGCTCCTTTGCTTTTGTCAAATATGTAGTCTTTTACGATACTGCCAGGGAGTGTAGTAGAGTCGTAAATGTCAGTCTGTCTGTCTGAAGTCACCATATGGCTTAAAATACATACATATAATAAAAACTGCAATATCGATCTTAAGGACCTAATTCAGCTTTTCATTACACTCACCTGTCAATACCGTCAGTAGGTCTCCCTTCTCCGAGGAATCCGCAGTAGCATCCATAGCCTTTATAAGCGAGAGGATCGCAGCCAGTGGCGCAGTACATCATGTTGTACAGGTGGAACACTCCACGCTTGCCACGGTTCTCCGTCTTACTCATGTATACTTGGGGATCTATGTTCCTGTAAATATATTTAAATTAACCTTCATTGAATCTCCAAATCTTCAATCCTAAATCCTTTAAACTAACTCCTTTAGCGTTACAAGTGTCCATGCGCCCATTGGTTACCATCAGGTGATTTGTTTGCTTGTTACCATTCTATGTCGTATAAAAAACATGCAGATCTTTTCTCAAAGGGAAATGGAACGAGCATTGATGGCTACCCTTATCCGGGACAAATTAGCAAATTGCCTGACGTCATAAGACCAAGAAATCTTTTAGAAACTCACCTGACCCCTTTCCTATAATCGTCTTCGGGCACAGAGTACCTAAAGGGATCCCTGGCGAATCCCACCAGCAGTGGACCACTAGCATCCTTATAATGAGGTCTTTCTTCAACCTCATTACTCCTGGTATCATTGTGGATGTACTTAGGACTATTTACATGGCTACTAAAACTACTGACTGCGGTGTATGGCTTGTACACAGTTTGTAACTGTGCGTAGTGTGTGTTGTTGTATATTTGGTCGTATGTTAGATGTCTTGGCCAATCTGGAAAGAGAGAAAGAAGTTGTTTTGAAACATTATAGTTTATACATATTATTATAGTATAAAGTTGGAATGAGAATTATCGATGAATGTTGGCACTATTGGCAGAGACAGCCTTTGGAATTTTACTTACAAAGGGATAAAGTGAATTAATTATGTTAATGTCTAAAAAGAGTACTTCTTTGGAGACAACCAATCAAGGTGAACTTTACATTTGTGTTTCTCTTTAAATATTAGACCAGCTCAAAATTCAATAGTAGTACAGTTTTGACTTAAGCACAAAGCAATTACGTAAATAAGGCTAATATTTGCATCATCCACCAAACAATGAAAGCAGATCAGAATCCTCATATTATGGCAAAAATCTATTTCAGTGTTTCACGGCCTGATTGTTATAGGACAATGTATTAATTGAATAGATACGTGTACATAGAAGATAGTGATACAGTATACAATTGTTAGTGTAGGTAACGAACTGTGAAAATGTATAACTATGTCTATTTGGATTTAGAACATTTCGCTGTGTGTGGTCAACAAAATGAATATGATTTTAATATTGTAAAAGCATTTATTGATTTGTTAAATAATTCGTTGATGTAGTTGTAGATTTTTGTGTCTAATATTTGAATATTATATACTCAAAGTATATATACTCAAATGCCTCTCAATTTTAAGTCGCGCTTGAGTATAGTTCTGTCACTAACAAATTCCTTGTAAAATGACAGAGGGGCCCGATATTTAAGAACAACTTAAAATTGAATCGGTGTCATTCAACGACCGTATTCGTACCACGGCCCTTTTAGTATGAAGAAATGTTGTTGTTTTTTTTTATAACTAATACTAAATCCAATACATTTGCCACCTCGTACTTATGTAAGTTAACATTTTAGTCAATGGTCCAATTAAAAAGTATGGATAGAAATCGTTTAAATTCGAAAAACGATTTAATTCTGAATGTAGCAAAAATGGATCCACGATGGGAGAAATTGGTGAATGAAAAACTAGTGCAACCTTCGCATTAACGGGTCTTATAAGTTTATTTTAATTTAATTTATTGTTTAATGATAGATATATGTATCTCAGAAGTTATTATTATTTATTGTTCATACAAATGAGTAAATATGTCTTTTAGTTAACATTTTTCTTAATAAATTTTTATAAATAATATCGATTCTGTACTGCTGTATCTTAGCAACTCCACTATAAAAGCTTCGCGACCCCCTGGAGAGGTTTGATTGAGACCCACAGGTTGAAAAACCATGTATTGGAGTATTGCGTTGATTTGTATCTCTCATATTTACTGCCATAATATCGCCCATTTTAATGACACCACAGCTTATCGACAAACATCACCTGTACCTATTTACGGAACGATAAAGTAAAAGTATTTCTACTTAAGTACTATCTTCTATTACTACAATAGATTTGACATTGTTGTACATACTACAACTATGTACTTCCATGAGAAGTGAATATCAAAAATATTTTCACGTTTTGACCTCTCACCTCACATACTTAAGAGTCATTACACCTTGCCAAATCATTGCTAACTAATGGCAAATTGAAATCGTAGTACATCAATCGAAATTAAACCTTATTGAGAGAGTAAAAGAGTTGATTAGAGCTTTGGGAACCAATGAAAGGGTTTTTGTTAAAGGAATGTTACGCATCATGGTGATTTACAAAGTAGACTTGATTTAAATCCGAGGTACGGGGTTTTGAATGTAAAACATGAATGTCGGTCATTTCTTTATGATTGGAGTGTCGTACTTTTCTTTTCTTTTATGGGATCAAATTATCCCTTACGGCGTTTGGGATAGGTAGTTACGTTTTTAGATTGCGGTTATCTGTTATTAAGTATTAAGACTCAAATTGTTTAAAGTATGTAAGAAGAAGGTACCTCAGTCATGCATCAGGTATGCATATTATCGAACTGATTGCGTTTCGTAGTTAAAATTATAATAATAGTGATACTATTGTCATAATCGGCGCCGATTGCGTACCATCACAGGTGATCCGTCTGCTCGTTTACGCCGGTAAACGAGCAGATGGATCACCTATAAAAATCATTTTAAAGCAGCCTTGAATTTGTCCTAAATTGACAGGTTATTACAGCCTACGCAGACTATAAGCTGCGCGATATCGCCGCACATGCCGCTCATGAGGAAGAGTCCCTGTGTGACTCGAAATCAATAGAGCTTCTCTTAGTATTTTTCGCGTGAGTAACCCGTAATTTTTAGTTTATCAGTATGTTTTACGATTATTCTATTTTGTTTATATCAAATATCAACGTATAATACGTTTATATGTTCACGAAAACCTTTAGAATCCTTTAATATAGACAAAAATAACAAGTTTTTATTGATAAGGTACACCGGACAAGTATGTCAGAAATTAAAACCATTACTATTGTTTAAATATTCTATTAAAACGATAATAATCACGTGCGACATGCGAAACTGAATTAATAAATAATTAACATTGATCAAGGGACGATTTTAAATAAAATTGACATTTAAAATGATACATAATGCTGTTGTTATGTCATTTAATTACATTGAAATTATTAATTAAATGTCTTATTATATTATTCACAAGTTATTAAATCCAGCATAAACTGACCGTCGAATTTGCATAATGTTCATACAAAGTAAAGACTTTGATAAATTGGTTTCTTATAATTCGATGTGTAGCCTATTGTCTTTCGACCTGACCTTGTATTTAGCATGAGATATTATGTTAATTTAAGATTAAATACAATGTTTGTTCTTGCAACGATTTAGATTGGATTGTGAACAATGAGAAATTTCTGTGTTAAAATTAAATTGTGACTATTTTTGTCAACATTTTTGTCTTGTTAACTTACAAGGTTGTATGCAAGTTTCAATGTTTTTTTTTTATGGAATATTAGGCTAACGAGCAGACGGATCACTTGATGGTAAGCGAACAGCGCCGCCCATGGACACCCGCAACACCAGAGGAGACACAGGTGCGTTGCCGGCCTTTTAAAAAGGAATACGCTCTTTTCCTGAAGGTTTAAAGGTCGTATTGGTCCGGAAATACCGTCGAAGACAGATCATTCCACAGTTTTGCTGTGCGAGGTAGAAAGCTACGTGAGAAGCGCACGGTTGTGGCTTGAAAACCATCTATATGATGGGGATGCATATGCTGTTATTTTTAGATGTTTCACATAGTTAAAGGTGGATACAACGACATTAATAAAGGCGATGATTAGGTAAACGTATTTGAGAAAAGGAATCTTAATTGAATAGAAGTGTTTGTTTACGTTACTTTTTAATAGAGCACCTTTGGCTAACATTTTGGAAAATAAAGGTGTGTCTGTGTATGTGTGTCGTAAACGGTAAAAGGTTTAACGTTAATACACAACATAGAGGATGATTCACATGTCAAAGTTACACAAAAATGTTGTTTCGAAATTGGACTGTTCGCTTGTTGTTTCGTATTGACAGTATCGGTAGTTTAAGTTATCGATAAAAGTAGTTTATTTTAAACCTTTTAAAAATATATAAATGTATTAAACCACTGCTGGTATCTAATTTTTGAATTCTTTCTACTGTGTACCTGATATAGGTACAAGATCTATGGAGCTATTCTCACTTGCAACCTCAGCAATCATACTTTTCAACATATTATATGGGAACGAGCCTTGACGTTGTTTTAATATAGTATTTATTAACAATCAACAATTGTACAATCTCCTTTCTGAAATTTGTTTAAAAACAAAGGAGATTAAAACAATTCTTAATCTGATAAGTATTACTCCATTCTTGCCACTGAATGCCATTTTTACATTGTGTTTATTTAGACAACATCTACTTCAATTTAGGCAACGTCTTATTGACCAATAATTACGGTTATGTGCCAAGGTCCAATGTATATAAGCTTATGTAAAATATCTAGTAGATAAATATGATTTTTTACTGTCTAGGACATGTCAAATATGGTTCAAATGTTGGCTGTGGGCGTTGTGAGAGTCCCTTGACATTTTATTAGAATACGATGATTACCATACTTATGATTATAATTTATTTAGTTTCTGATTTAGTGTGGAAATTAACATAATCGCTTTATTTCTTAGTGAGATAGGTCATTTATTACTATTGTGTAGTAATATTACCGTTTGTTTGTGTAGATTTCGAGAGTGGCGTACATTTTGGTAGGTTAACAATGAATTCGGACTGATATTTGCAATTTAAATTATGAGTGATCACAATTGCAATCAATTCTTTGTTAAGTTGTTGAAGAGTAATTTGTCCTGTCTTATTGGGTCAGCTTTGAGGTCTTTATTCGCTAAAGACATTCCACGAGAACCAGCGGCGGTTTTTTTATTCCAGCTCATTCATTTTTTAGTCATCTATTCATCATGTTCTAGCTGGTTCAGCCTTCAATACAATGTGCTTAATTAACAACACAATTAGCGGAACGTGATTGCACTATAACGTAACCTTAGCTTCCCCTTAGGGCATTAACATACGTGATACCACGTCATGTAATTAATGAAGTACCAATGGAATTCGGACATTGTCTCGAATTCGATGTCTTAACGTCCATCACCTCAATATAAATCATCGGAATACACACAAAAACTAGCACAACTCGATTGGTTAACTTGTTGCAATGTGCTCAAGTGACCTGGCCAAATCTGGATCATATTCCCATGTACCGGTTTTTTCTCAGGTCAGTTACATAATGAAATAATGGACATTTTTGACCAGTAAGTTCATGTTTCACTTTGTGATGAATATGCAGTTCTTATTATGTGTAAAATAAGCGCTTGGAATATGTAGAAGACACCTTACTGGTTGTTTTGTTTACATTTTGTAATCGTATTGCGTTTGTTTACGACTTAAAGTTCAAGTAAGTACACGGTTCTGTTTGTAGAGTAAGACAATGTTGTTTTAAGTAGCCTTGGGTTAATAAGTGGGTGTCTTTATGGTAGTAGTAGGAATGGGCGATGTCTATGCTCTATACTAAACTGAATC